GCAGTGCAGTGCAATATGCAATGAAATGCACTGTGCAATGTGTACATTAGCTGACATTATTCTCTCCTCTTCTTTTCTTCCGTGTTAGCTGAATGTTTCCTTCCACCCACCCCCTCCCTCAACTGCCTCGCACTCTCCCATGGGCAGATCGAGAAGTTTTTTTGTGCTTGAGCTGCCCAACATGTTCCGCAACCGGGCAGAGTACGCACACAGCATCCGCAACCCCATTGCTCGGGACTTCAACACAGAAGCAGCGTTTCGCTTCATGACCCGCCCAGCGGTAAGTGTGCTTGCAGGGGTGAAGTGCTGCTAGAGAGATGAGTGCAGATTCAATGGGGAACTGGGGTGCCACAAGGAGCAACTAACCCCATTGGCCAGGACTCCAACACAGAAGCAGCGTTTCGATCCATGACCCGCCCAGCAGCGAGTGCAGCTACAAGAGTGAGCCTATGAGACATTTGGAGGAAAATGCATGACAGGGTCCAACACGGAAGCAGCGTTCCGCTCCATGACCCGCCCAGCGGTGAGTGCAAATGCAGATGAAGGGGTGAGATGAGCACAGTGCAAGCCCAAGAAGGCAAAGGGTATGGAAGCTCCACGGCCCTCCCGGGCGGGCAAGGGGCGCGGAGGCTCCACGGCCCTCCCGGGCGGGCAAGGGGCGCGGAGGCTCCACGGCCCTCCCGGGCGGGCAAGGGGCGCGGAGGCTCCACGGCCCTCCCGGGCGTGCAAGGGGCGCGGAAGCTCCACGTTCCGACTATTCTTGTCAGCTATGCATGAATCTTACAAAAAACGAATACACATAATCTGCTATGGTTGATGGAAAACACTATTGATTTCTCAACTTTCTTACGAACAAACTCATCCTGTTATGCCAGCAGGCACCACGGTTGATATTCCTGCTGTTATGGCTCCATCGACCTCTTGTTTTCCAGATTCATAGATAAACATAGAAGTAGCAGTCAAAATGAGGAAGCATTTTGGGGTTGTGATTAGGAATGTCAAACTATGTTAATATGTCATTGTATCTATGGCTAGAAATGGGGTAGGCATTAGAGAGTATTACACCCACGTACTTGTGTAACCTCCTTTCTGACCTATTCTCGACTCTGACCTAGTGCAAAGTTCTCCTATCCACAGGATGGTACAGAGTAGGTGTTTCCTCCCTCCCACGCTTCCGCTCCCTCTCGTAGCTCTTGATAGTCGTTTTAAGACGAGGCGCCCGCCCCTTATGCTCGATTCCGTCGCCGTAGGTTAGGCCCCCCCACGTGGGCTCACTGTGTCGCGGTAAGGACGCCCCCCGCGGGCCCTCGTTTCGTCGCGATCAAATATCCCCGCAGGCCCTCGTTTTGTCGCGCTCCAGAAGGGCCCCCCCCGGGTCCGCGTAGTCGTGCTTAGAACAGGCCCCCCCGCAGGCCCGTCCCGTCGCGGGTCCTTCTCGTAGCCCCTGACGCCCGTTCTGTCGCGCCTAAGTCGCCCGCCACTGCCAGCCCGCCACTGCGAGCCCGCCACTGCGAGCCCGCCCCTGCCAGCTTGCCCCTGCCAGCTTGCCCCTGCCAGCTTGCCCCTGCCAGCTTGCCCCTGCCAGCTTGCCCCTGCTACCTGTACCTGCCACTGCCAGCCCGCCTTTGCCAACCCGCCGCTACACCTGCCATTACAGCCGCCACAGCCTCTGCTGCCCGTTCCTGCCTCTGCCAGCCCGCGTCTATTGCCCGTGCCTGCCTCTGCCAGCCCGCGTCTATTGCCCGTGCCTGCCCGTGCCTGCCCGTGCCTGCCCATGCCTGCCCGTGCCTTCTCGTGCCTGCCCGTGCCTTCTCGTGCCTGCCCGTGCCTGCCCGCCTTTGCCCATTTGCAAGGTCTTTCTAATGTGTTGATTTGCAAGGTCTTCTTATGAGTCGGTTTGTGAGTGTGTGGTTGTGTTTATTCGCGTGGTTCGTTTAAGAGCGTGGAAATTTCCCCTTGCCAACACATTCTTAGCTTGCTCCTCCCACCCTACTTCCCTGCAGTTTCCTTGTCCTGACAACTCTGCATCCGCCTCAGTGGGCCACTCAGAGCAAGCAAGTGTCTGAGACGTCTCAAAACAAGCAAGTGTCTGAGACGTCTCAAAACAAGCAAGTGTCTGAGACGTCTCAAAACAAGCAAGTGTCTGAGACGTCTCAAAACAAGCAAGTGTCTGAGACGTCTCAAAACAAGCAAGTGTCTGAGACGTCTCAAAACAAGCAAGTGTCTGAGACTTCTCAAAACAAGCAAGTGTCTGAGACGACTCAAAACAAGCAAACTTGTTTCACTCACTCTCACCCTCTCTCACAATTTCCCCTCCCACACACCCCGTCTGTTGTTATACGCTGTGGGCAGCTCTGCATCAGCCCATGTAGACGTGTCCGTGCCCCCACCCGTGGGGGATGGTGGGAGAGAGGCGGGAGCAGGGGAGGGGGATTTGCAGTCTTTGCTGCGACACACAGGGAGTGGAGGGGAGAAGGGGGTGAGTGAAAATGGAGGGAGGGGAGGAGGAAGAGGAAAAGAGAGCGAGAGAGCAGGGGGGGGTGAGGGGGGAGAGAGGGGGAAGGGGAGTGTCAGGCCGATGGGAGGAGAAGGGGGAAAGAGGGGTGATGGTTTTGGTAATGGTGCTGTGAGTTTTGTTCATGGTGACTATAGCGAGAATGATAGGGAGGATGGGGAGGAGGATATAGACGATGGCGTGGCTTATAACGAGGGGATGTGCTTATATAAACTGCTTATAGCGGTAGTTAGTGTAGTGTTACATTGTTTGGTGGTGCACCTTGCTTGCTTTGCCTATATCCTTGTACCTTCTCTCTTTATTGAACACTTTTCTCCTTTGCAACTCTCTCGACATTCCTCTTGAACCCTAAACCTAAACTACTAAGCCACTAAAGCCATGGCTCCTAAGCCTAGGGGTCCTTAGTATCTTGACATGGTTTCAGAGCATTTATGCTCCTGGCCTGTGGGCCCCCACTTGCTTCCGCTGCCTGTCGTCCTGTCGCGCGCCTCGCGCACGCGGCGTATTTTCCTCGCCGTGCGCCCCGGGCGCGCGGCGATTTTCTGCCCGCCGTGTGCTCGGGGCGCACGGCGGTTTTCTGCCCGCCATGCGCCCCGGGCGCGCGGCGTCTTCCTGCCCCGCGCGCGGCCTGCCCTCACGCCGCCTGCGCGCCTGCCCCACGTCCGCGCGCGGGCCTGTGCTGCCCGCCCGTACCCTGCCCGTCGCGGCGCCCTGCGAGGCGCCGCTCCTGCTCGTCGCGACGCCCCTGCGGGACCCGCGCGGCGTCGCCCTGCTCGTCGCGACGCCCCTGCGGGACCCGCGCGGCGTTGCCCCTGCTCGTCGCGGCGCCCCCTGGACGCCGCCCCTGCTCGTCGCGGCGCCCCTGGGGCGTCGCCCCTGCTCGTCGCGGCGCCCCCTGGGCGCCGTCCCTGCTCGTTGCGGCACGCGCGCGCCCCCCCCCCCCCCCCCCCCCCGGTCGCCCGTCGTGGCGCCCTCGGGGGGCCTGCGCGCTGCACCCCCGTCGTCGACCCTGCAGCCGCCCCTGGCCCCTGGAGCAGCCGCCCCTGGCCCCTGGAGCAGCCGCCCCTGGAGCAGCCGCCCCTGCAGCAGCCGCCCCTGGCCCCTGGAGCAGCCACCACTGCAGCAGCCGCCCCTGGCCCCTGGAGCAGCCGCACCTGCAGCCGCCCCTGGCCCCTGGAGCAGCCGCCCCTGGCCCCTGGAGCAGCCGCCCCTGCAGCAGCCGCCCCTGGTCTCTGGAGCAACCGCCACTGCAGCAGCCGCCCCTGGCCCCTGGAGCAGCCGCCCCTGCAGCGCCGCTCCTGGACCCTGTGCAGCCGTGGGGGGAGGGTATGGGGGTGGCGGGTGTGGGGGTGATGAGTGTGGGTGCTACCCCTCCCCTCCTCCTCCTCCTTCTTCGTCTCCCACTGCTGCAGCTGCTGCTGAAGGGGGGTGGATGTGTGGGAGCCGAGGGGAATGGAGCTAAGGGGGTGTCGTGGGAGTGGAGACAGGGGTGCAGCAAGGGGGTGTGTGAGAAGGGGGTGTGGGACTATTAGGGGAGGTTGAGCGGAGGTCGCCGTCGTGTCATCAGCAGCGCCAGTAGTCCGGAGCCCTCGTGCTCTCGGTAGCCCAGCGAGCCTGCTTCGCCAGTCGCCTGTGGGTCCGTTGCTCCTGCCGCTCGTCGTAGCCGCGGAGCCAAATACTCCCGTAGTCCGGTGCCCTCGTGCGCTCAGTAGCCACTGTGCGCGCCGCTCCTGTTGCCCGTGTGACTGCGGCTTCACCTGTCGCCTCCTATCTCCACCCCTCTCACAGTCCCTCCTCCTCACTTCCCCTCTCCTTCTGCTGCGCTTGGTGTACCCCTTCAGGGGGTGTCTCTGCATTGGCTTCCTGCTGCAAGCAGTTTAGGGGGTGTGTTGAAATATATTTCTTATATAAACTGCTTGTAGCGGTAGTTAGTGTAGTGTTACGTTGTTTGGTGGTGCACCTTGCTTGCTTTGCCTATATCCTTGTACCTTCTCTCTTTATTGAACACTTTTCTCCTTTGCAACTCTCTCGACATTCCTCTTGAACCCTAAACCTAAACTACTAAGCCACTAAAGCCATGGCTCCTAAGCCTAGGGGTCCTTAGTATCTTGACATTGTTCAGGGTGACTATAGCGAGAATGATAGGGAGGATGGGGAGGAGGATATAGACGATGGCGTGGCTTATAACGAGGGGATGTGCTTGAAGGTCAAGGGGGATGCTTACATGGAGGATGACGCATGGGGGGAGGATGCGGGGGAGAGGGTGGAGAGGGGGGAAGGAGTGGGGATAGAGTAAGAGGGGGAAGAGGAGGAAGGGAAGAAACAGTTGGGTCACTCCTTCTCTCCTTCTCTTCTGATTTCATTTCATACTGTATTTTTCTCCATGAATATGTAAATCTTTTCCTACACTGCCTCCCTCCATCTCTCAAATGCCTCACTCTCCCATGGGCCGATCGAGAGGTTTTTTGTGCCCGAGCTGCCCAATATGTTCCGCAACTGGGCAGAGTACGCACGCAGCATCCGCAACCCAATTGGCCGGGACTTCAACACAGAAGCAGCGTTCCGCTCCATGACCCGCCCGGCGGTGAGTGTGCGAGTGTGCTTACAAGAGTGAGTGCATATAGGAGCATTTGGATGAAAGGCATATACAGGGACCATGGGAACACAGAGGCAGCATTTCGCTCCATGACCCGCCCTGCGGTGAGTGTGATACAGACACAGGGCAGGGGATACATTGCTCTGAACACCCAATGCAGGAGGGGTGGATGCAGAACGCACCCACCCTATCTGATCTGATGCACCATGAACGCAAGCAGCACCCATCGGTCTTCTAACATAGTTTCCAGCGGGCAGCAGATGCACCATGAATGCAGGAAGCACCCACCCTGTCTGATCTGGTGCACCATGAACGCAAGCAGCACCCATCGGTCTTCTGACATAGTTTCCAGCGGGCAGTAGATGCACCATGAATGCAGGAAGCACCCACCCTATCTGATCTGATGCACCATGAACGCAGGAAGGACCCATTGATGAGGACACAACAGTGTGACTTTTGAGTCGCCTAAACACATTTCGTCCAACCCACCTATATGATGCAGCACAAGTGCAGCAACCAATGATGAGGACGCAACAAGAGCAGGGGCTGAACAATTCCCCCCGTTTCTCCGCTTTCTTTGTGTGGCGTGCGAGTTTGTTGTGTGCATGTGTTGTGTGCATGTGTTGTGTGTATGTGTGTATGTGTTGTGTGTGCATTGTGCATTGTGTCTGCATTCTGTGTGCCTTTTGTGTGTTACCTTTCCGCAGGTCATGAAGCCAGTGGGGGTGGTCATTCGACCTGTCCGATACGTCAAGAATGCACAAACCGCTGATGAGGAGCCAGCAAAAAAGAAGGCAAAGGGAGGGGAAAAGGGCAAGGGGGGAGAGAAGGGAAAGCGAGGAGAGAAGGGCAAGGGTAGTGCCGGTAGTAAGCATGGCAACAAGCATGCGTGAGGGAGGGGTGGCGGTGGCCGTGGTAGTGGTGGTGGAAAGGGAAAGGGGGCGGGAGGTGCGAACGGTTCTAAGGGCAATGCTAAGCCTTTCAAATAGAAGCACTGCATTAAGCATGTAACGTAAAGGCTTCTGAGATATTACGTGAACCATTTCCTGGCGATGGCTTGCGAATGCGATAGTGGAAACGTTTTTTCTATTTATACCGAAGGGAAACTGTATTTTATTAGAGACAGAACTTGTGGAATTACACACACACATTTAGCTACGGTAGCAACTAGCAAGAAACTCTTCACTCAACCATCCATCCAGCCCACCGAAAGACAAGCACGTGCAAGGGAAAACAAAAGCAGCAAGAAGCAAAAAGCACACAAAAGCAAGCAGAAAGCAGCATTTCCCCGCCCAAGATGCCTATAGGACACCACATCAACATGCCAGGTAATGCAGCACGCATAGAATTCCACCCGACCTACTGTGATACCCAGCCGCATAGCAGCACAGCAGAACATATTCAGCTGCCCTCCAAATTGCTCCTTCCAAAGCATCAGTTTAGCAGGCAAAGGCCCCAAGTCCAAGTAATCACCCGATGGTATCAGTTCTTGCCCTTTTTGCCCCCATTACTCTTCTGAGAGCCATTACTCTTCTGAGAGCCGTTACTCTTCGGAGTGGGGGGAAGAGAGGAGACGGACGATCCGCGAGAGCCCCTGGGAGTGTCAAACCCGAGACCGGAATTCGCAGACGAGACAGAAGACCGCCTAGAGGCGCCCGAATTCTGGGTCGACTTAGACGACACAGACGATCCCCTAGAGCCTCTGGGAGTGGGCGGGAGCGACCCAAGGTCGGAATTCATTGACGAGACGGATGACCGCCCAGAGCCCGCCGACATGGAAGCCCTCCCAGCCTGGGCGGGCGGGACAGGTGCCCTCTCAGCGTCTGCCGAGTAAGGCTCAAACGCGCGGGGGACGTTTGCGAGGAATTGCTGCGCCGCAGCAGCCGAACCCGCTGAGTCTTCCGAGCCAAAGGAGAAGCCCCTGGAGCTCTTGCTGTTAGAGCTCTTTGGAGTGGACGGGAGGAGCCTACGTGATCCTCCCTTGACAACGAGAATGCGCGGCGTCGCCACGTGCGATTCGGCGGCGCTGTCAATTGCTGGTGCAACCCTACGGTTTGCACTCGGCTTGTTGTCCGTGTGCGTGAATGTGTGTGTGTATGGAATGGTATGAGGGCATGGGATAATATATATTTCATGCTTATAATTGTGTGTGAATGTTGAGTCATGATGTCGAGTGTGTGTGTCGAGTCAATAGCGAGTTATCGCTAGACGCGTGTTACGCGGTCGTTTGTGTCTCGCGCGCGGTTTCTATTTTGTCGTGCGCGGTTTCTATTTTGTCCTGTGTCGAACGTTCGGCGTGTCGCAGGTGTGTGCAGCAGACCCATCAAGAACTCAAGGATGAGTTTGTGATGAAGAGCCCGAGCCTTGGTGTCAAGCCTCAAGTGATTTCGAAGCTCGCCAAAAGGGTACACCTCAAGATATTGAAGATAGTTACATTACTTTGTGTAGTGTAACATTTCACTTGGTGTAGGCCCTAGTGAAGGGTAGTTTCGAGACCCTTCGTGGTTGGGGACAGTGTGGCACTGTTCCACATCACTGTACCTCGGCTCTTGGGGTTTGTAGGAGCTGGGAGTCATTCCCAACTCGTAACTCTTCCTATCTTGTGTTCTAAGACTATAGTGGCTGCCATAGTACCGTTCGTTCAAACCGACGCTGTGTCGTCAATTCTTTATCAAATCGTGCAATCTAAATTGCTAATTGTAGACGACGTAAAGACGCTCCAGATCCAATTTGAATCAAGTCATTTGCAGCTGTGAGCAGAACGCTATCAACGTTTGAAGCCGCTGTGCAGAAATCCGTCTGTGCTCTCTATCTTTCGTTTTAGGCACATTCAAGCCTATTGTGACTATAACAAGTGGTATCAGAGGCCCTTGGAGCAGTTTCGACAATGTCTGGACCTGAGGAAAGGGGTGGCAGAGGTGCTGGTGGCAGTGGAGAAGCTCAAGCTCAAGGCCAACCCCGTGATTCAGCCATGGCGCCCATGCAACCAAGTCTTGGCCCACCTAGGGATGAGCCTAGGGTGTTTGGGCTTGACAAGTTCAACGGTGACAACTTTGCTGAATGGTCCTTCAAGATGGAGAACATCTTTGACCACTATGACCTGCTGGAGGTGATGGAAGGAACGGAGAAGCGCCCCGAGAACGACCCGGAGAAGAGCCCGTGGGTGCGGAAGAGCGCACAAGGCTATCTCTTACTTGGGCAAGCGTTGGGGAGCAGTCAGATCCGTCACATCAAGCCATTCCAGCGTGAACCAGAGAAAGGACCAAAGGCATGGGCTGCTCTCAAGGGTGTACATGCTCCTGCAACAGCGGCGGTAGCGGTGGTGTTGGAACGGCAAATGGCGGCACTACGAATTGAAGAAGACGAAGCGGTTGAAGAAGGGGTGCAGAAATTCTTCGACTTGTTGACGCGGCTTGAGGGAGCTGATTTGAACTACAGTGAGCTCCAAAAGAAGACCAAGTTGCTGGCCTTACTCCCAGAGTCATGGTCCTCGCTCATCATCAACCTTAATCGCGACTTGCCCCGCCTCTCGCTTGAAGACGTGAAGCGAGCTATCCTTCAAGAGGATTTCCGCCGCCGTGAGTTGGCGAGTGCGGATGGCGCTGGGGCAGCGAGCATCGGCCGTGGATATGGTCGAGGAAGAGGCAGAGGACGAGGGGGAGGAAGGTTTGGTGGCAGCAACTTCGGCGGAGGCCGCAGGAGTGGCGGTTACGGCAGCGACGACAAGAGCTACGGACGCGGTCGCGGCCGATTCGACGGCGAGTGTCACTATTGCCACAAGAGCGGACACATGTGGCGCGACTGCTACAAACTCCCTGATGGTTGGACCCCTGCTCAAGGCCAAGAGGGTAGAGGAGCAGGAGGAGGGAGAGGACGAGGCCGTGGAGGCCGTGGCGGTCGCGGTGGCGGAGCTGCAAACATGAAGAGCGGAGACAACGACAAGGACCCGAGCGACGATCGATACCCGGGTCTATTCTACTTCGTGTCGACGCAAGTACCGGCTGGTCCAGAGAAGGATGAAGGCTTTGAGGAGCCAGCAGCTGTGGGGAAGGTGACCCTACACCCCCTGGACTATTGGGTGATTGATAGTGGCGCTACCTATAGCATGACACCTCGCCCGGACTTGCTCACCGAACTCGAGCCGTCACCGGTGAAGCATGTCACATCGGCTTTGGGGCAGCGAGCAGAGGTGAAAGGCATGGGCAAGGCCATGTTCAAGGGTGCTGATGGGAAGATGGTGGGCCTCAAGAACGTGCTTTGGGTGCCCAGCCTTGCTGCAAACCTGATTTCCGTGCGACGGTTGGCAAAGGCCGGCATGGACACGAACTCGAAGGGAGCCAAGACCTACACCGCAAGGCTTGGCGATCGAATTCTTTGGGACCTTCATGAGGACAGGGATGTCTACAACGAGATGTGGCAGATCCCAGTGGTCCCTATGCCTAAGGAGAGGCAAGTGGCAGCAAGCATCAGCACCAAGGATGGAGCGGTCGGTAGCGACGATGGCGCGAACGGTCGCGCTAAGGAGAATGAGCTCAAGAAGAGCAAACCTGGAGGGACCAGCAAGTTCAGTGAACCTGAGGAGAGTGGTGCAGCAACCAAGGAGCAGCAAAAGGGTGAGGAGAACCCAAAGGCAGCAGCGGAGGAGGACTACGGAGAGAGTATGTGGGGCGCTATTGCGAGCGCGGCATTCTCCAATCCAACTTCGGCTACGGGGGAGTGTGATTGGCTCATCTTGCATCGGCGCATGGGGCATGTGGCCCTGCCCATCTTGCAGCAGCTAGTGAAGAATGAGATGGTTGCTGGCATACGTGTGAAGGGGGAGCCCGATGAGGTGCTTGGCTGCCCGACGTGCATTCAAGCCAAGTTCACCCGGTTTCCGTTCCCTAGTTCGGAGGCAACGGCAAAGGCACCGCTTGATGAGATGGTGATGGACGTGGTGGGCCCCCTGAAGCTTGGAGCTGCTGGAGCTGAGTATTTTCTCACCATTGTCGACGTCTACACCCGCATGACTTGGGTGTACGTGCTGGCCAAGAAGAGCGACGTGGCTGAAACGTTGAAGACGGATTGGTTCCCGATGGTGGAGCGGCAACAAGACCGTCTAGTCAAGTCAATCCGCACCGATCGAGGGAGAGAGTTCCTGAGCAAGGAGTTTGGGTTGTGGCTGAAGAAGAATGGTATTCGGCACTCCCTCACCATGCCATACTCCCCTGCAATGAACGGCATCGCCGAGCGAGCGAACCGCACAATCACGGAGGCGGCACACGGGTTGCTCATTGAAGCCGGGCTACCCGACTATTTCTGGCCTGATGCGGTGCAGAGCGCGTGTGTGGCCAAGAACAGAGCCTTGACTCATGTGGGAGCAGACAAATGGGTGCCCTATGTGGAGTGGCTAGGAAGGAAGCCAAAGGTGGATATGCTTCGGGTGTTCGGGTGCATGTGCATGGCGCTCGTGCCTAAGCATCTTCGGCACAACAAGCTTGGTGCCAAGGCGGTGTGGGCCGTGCACTTGGGCATGGCTCAAAACAGCAAGGGATGGCTTCTTTGGGACCCATTCACCAAGAAGTTCTTGGTGAGCAGGGACTGCAAGTTCATGGAGAACTTCATGTACAAGGATTGGAAGGCGGAGAATGAGGCGAAGATAGGCGTGCGGTTTGGGGAGGTGAAGAGTTCCGGTTTGGAGCATGTGGAGCTGCCTTTGGAGCTGAGCAGCGGCAGCACAACCACAAGGCAATCCTCCCTTGTGAATGGGGGAGAGGAGGCCAATGATGCAGAGGAAGAAGAGGAGGAGGTGCAGCAAGTGAGCGAGCGTGCACCGTCACTCCCTTCCCGTACTACGAGTGCTCCACGGATTCGAGCCACACCGCAGCAACGCCAAGGCCTTCAAGTCCCTGCAGCTGAGGAGGAAGGAAGGGGGAAGAGGAGAGTTCAACCCCCTAATAGGCTGACCTATGATGCGCCGGGAAAGCAGGGCAAGACAGCCCTGGCCGGAGCGGCAATGATGGTCGGAGACGACGAGGAGAGTGACTACGAGGAGTGTGCCTTCGCGTTCTTCTCTCCGGTGGAGATGCCGGGAGAACCAGCAACTCTCAAGGAGGCTTTGGAGAGTAGTGATGCTGAGGAGTGGAAGAAGGCCATGGAGAGTGAGCTGAAGAGCATCGAGGAGAATGACACGTTTGAATTGGTGGAGCTACCGGAGGGGCGTACGGCGATAACGTCCAAGTGGCTCTTCAAAATCAAGTCGGATGCCGACGGCAAGATCGAGCGCTACAAGTCTAGGCTTGTAGCCAAGGGGTACCAGCAGAAGGAGAAGGTGGACTTCAAGGAGCTGTTTGCCCCTGTGGTGAAGCCGACGACGCTGCGAACCCTATTCGCGGGAGCCGCCATCAAAGGATGGGTAGTAAAGCAAATGGACATCGTAACGGCATTCCTTAACGGCATCCTTGAGGAGGAGATTTTTATGGCGCAGCCAGAGGGGTTTGATGATGGTAGTGGCAGAGTGTGGAAGCTGAAGAAGGCCCTCTATGGGCTGAAGCAGGCCCTTAGGCAATGGTACATGAAGCTGCGCGAAGTGTTGGAGGGGATCGGCTTCACTCCCTCAACGGCCGATCACTCCTTGTTCATGCTTGGCGAGGGGGAGCAGAGGAGCTTCATGGTGGTGTACGTGGATGACATCCTGATCTTCTCACCCTCTCCTGACCTTGTGAAGGAGGTGATGCTGAAGCTGCAAGACAAGTTCAAGTGCAAGTCCCTTGGTGACGTGAACTTCTACCTTGGGCTCCACATCGAACGAGACGTGGAGAAGCGGAGCATGCGAGTGCACCAACGGAAGTACCTGGAGGCGTTGGCTGCCAACTTCGGCCAGAGTGAAGGTCATGTGGCTACTCCCTTTCCCTCTGGGTTCAAGTGTGTGAAGGGGCCAGAGGAGGAGAGCGTTGGAGAAGAGGAGAGGCGCCGATTTCACTCGTTGGTGGGCAGCCTCATGTATGCGGCGGTAAACACCCGACCGGACGTCGCATTTGCTACCGGGCAGCTGGCTAGGGTTGTGCAATGCCCTAATGAGGAGCAGGTAGCAGCTGGAATGAGGGTGGCCAAGTATCTTGGCCAAACACCGACCGTTGGGCTGCAATACTCGGCGGCGGCACAAAGGCGCCAAAAGGGCGCGGATGGTGTTGAACCCGGGCGTTTGTTCCTCACCGCCTACTCGGATGCTTCATATGCATCAGAACCAGAGGACATGACAAGTGTGGGAGGCTTCATATGCTGTGTTGGTGGAGGCCCAACTGCTTGGGAGAGCAAGAAGCAGGTTGACCAAGCTTTGAGCTCGGTGGAGTCCGAGTACATGGCACTCTTCCGTGCCGTACGGGAGATTGTGTGGCAGTGGCGTTTATTGGCTGAATTGGGGGAGGAGCAGCAAGGACCTACCCCACTGTACTGTGACAGCCAGGGTGCCATTGCTCTTGCTAAGAACCCTGTGTTGCATGGACTCACGAAGCACATGAGGGTGAAGTGGCATTGGACGAGGAGCATGGTAACCGCGGGTGAAGTTGAGTTGCGCTACGTGAAGACCACGGGGCAGCCGGCTGACATGATGACCAAGAGGCTGGTGGAGCAGCAGCATTGGAAGTGTTGCAAGCTGGCTGGGATGGCTCTGAACTGAGAGAGCAACATATCCTAAGGCCAACAATCCGAGGGGGAGTTTGTTGGTGCAACCCTACGGTTTGCACTCGGCTTGTTGCCCGTGTGCGTGAATGTGTGTGTGTATGGAATGTTATGAGGGCATGGGATAATATATATTTCATGCTTATAATTGTGTGTGAATGTTGAGTCATGATGTCGAGTGTGTGTGTCGAGTCAATAGCGAGTTATCGCTAGACGCGTGTTACGCGGTCGTTTGTGTCTCGCGCGCGGTTTCTATTTTGTCGTGCGCGGTTTCTATTTTGTCCTGTGTCGAACGTTCGGCGTGTCGCAGGTGTGTGCAGCAGACCCATCAAGAACTCAAGGATGAGTTTGTGATGAAGAGCCCGAGCCTTGGTGTCAAGCCTCAAGTGATTTCGAAGCTCGCCAAAAGGGTACACCTCAAGATATTGAAGATAGTTACATTACTTTGTGTAGTGTAACATTTCACTTGGTGTAGGCCCTAGTGAAGGGTAGTTTCGAGACCCTTCGTGGTTGGGGACAGTGTGGCACTGTTCCACATCACTGTACCTCGGCTCTTGGGGTTTGTAGGAGCTGGGAGTCATTCCCAACTCGTAACTCTTCCTATCTTGTGTTCTAAGACTATAGTGGCTGCCATAGTACCGTTCGTTCAAACCGACGCTGTGTCGTCAATTCTTTATCAAATCGTGCAATCTAAATTGCTAATTGTAGACGACGTGAAGACGCTCCAGATCCAATTTGAATCAAGTCATTTGCAGCTGTGAGCAGAACGCTATCAACGTTTGAAGCCGCTGTGCAGAAATCCGTCTGTGCTCTCTATCTTTCGTTTTAGGCACATTCAAGCCTATTGTGACTATAACATCAATCTCGGCGCGCTCTTCCTCCGGAGTGGAGTCTTGCGCGGCGGCGAGGGCGATCCGCGGCTGCGGGCGTTCCGGATTCGGCGGGCGGGGAATCTCGGGGTCCCGCGGACCGGCAGGGCGCCCCGGCATCTGCGGGCCAGTGGACTGTGCAACGTTGCGCGGATCCGCCGCGGCGAGGGCGATTCGTGGCTGCGGGCGTTCCGGATTCGGCGGGCGGGGAATCTCAGGGTCCCACGGATTGGCGGGGCGCGCCGGCCTCTGCGGGCCAGGCTGTGCCACGTTGCGCGGGCCCGCCACGGCGACGGCGAGGAGAGAGCGCCGAGCGCCCTGCGGGACCGTGGGGCTGGGCGTCGAAGGCCCGCCACCGTTGGGGTTCGCCGGCTGGCCGCGCGGAGAGTTGGGGGGGACCGGGGGGAGCTTGGGGTATGGCTGCGCCACTGCCGCGGGGACTGCAGCGAGGAGGCTCAGAGTCGCGGCGAGGACCAGTGCGAGCAGGAAGAGAGGGCGAAGCGCTCCCATGACTGTATTGTTGCTCAAAAAACGCCTATGTGTGTAATCGATCTGGAACTTTGAGGCGGAATGATTTTCAAAGACGGATGGCTGCTGCTACTATCGTTGGCTCGAATGAGGCTTGAGTGAACTGTCTAAACATGAGCGGTATTAATATTACATGATCAGCCTGAGACGGCATGAGCGCCGCTCAGGCAGGGCTGATGTGTTGCGGCTCGTCAGGATCTGACGAATTGATGCGTCTCGTAGCATCGCGGCTAATTTCTGAGCTTCGTAGCGTCAAATGCGGCGGTGATCGCTGGGGAGCTTGGGTGATGGGTGTGACGCTCTGGAAGTTATGGTCACTTCATAATTTCGAAATTATCATGTGTCCTGAATGCGTTTGTGTCGGCTGGTTTGGTTGATGCTGACGGGATGGGTTGCATGGGGGGGATGGGGCGAAGCGATGGGTTTGGAAAGTTGAATGACGGTAATGGAAGGTATAGAGGCGTTGCAGGGGCTGGTGCCTTTTCTCCGAAGTGCTTCGCAGTTGCTGGTGCTAGGTGCTGCTGCGAGAGTTTTCGAGTTGTGTGAGATCACGATCTTTGCGGCGGCATTTGCGGGCGATCAGTAATTGCAATATTCTGCAAAAACATTCACATCCACCGCACATTGCGACTCGTGTTTTGCTATTACACACGCTTTAGACGCACTCTGATTCAGAGCATGAAGGTCTTACATACATGTATGGTAGATTGCAAGATTTTCGGAATAACCAGCACTGTTATATTTTGTGAGCTTTGAGGAGTTAACACTACAGCGTGATAACATGCGAATCAGGGTTATCTTGTAAATTCAAATAATATCATTCTTTTAAATGTCCTTACAAACCGATCCTACATCGGATTTTTTGTCGCGGAACCAAACCAGTAAGTGGTCTTAGATCCGGAGTAACGGCTTCATATATCGAGAGCTCTTGAACGGTATTCGAGTGCGCTTGTAGTGTGTACGTTTGAAAGTGCAAAATGGCTCCAGCGCAGCAGGTGATGCTATTGACGTGGCGAGCTTGTGTCGGCCCTTCCCGCCTCGCTTTTAACGCGCGCTTTAGCGACATGCTAGTGCCCGTCCATGACACCCCCAGCACGCGCCACGTCGGTGCTAGAGCCTGCTCGGCTTTCTCAGAATCATAGCGAGCAGAAGAGTCAGCTAGTAGCTGATGAAGTGGTGAGGTGGTGAGCTGGTGAGCTGGTGAAACAGCTATACTCTCTGACATCTGGCTCTATTTCCGTCGCGACTCGCCATGTGTTGAGCCTAGAAAGTGCGCATGACAAAAATTTCGTGCGTCCCGATGGATTCGAGCGCCGGAAATTCGATTCGCTATGTCGTGGATGCGAGCCCCGCGGTCGAATCAAGAAGCGGAAGCAGCGTAGAAAAGCAGCTGCGAGAACCATTAGCGAACTCATCTGGAGCTCGAGTTCCTCTTATCGTTCAACCCTGCAACTAGCAACTCTGCATAAGCCGTCTCTCTTTGAACGAACGAACAACGTCTGAGCAGCAGCAGTTTCTGTTTCACTCGCAATAGAAGCAGTTACAACTTCCCTTGTCCATCACAAAAATAAAATCACCACTAGTGACGTCATGGCTAGCTTGGGTTTGGCTCCTGTTCCGTCCAAGGTTCAATTCCTTGGCGGTAGCAGGAATCATCTCTCAGGACCTACCATGAGTCAGAAGCGCGTAGCCACTCCCTATATCACTAAGTCCTTCCCTCCTAAGCGGAATTCAGTGGCTGCTCAGAGTTCTAGCCGTGGGGTGTCTTTCAGGGATGGGGAGATGGCCGGTGTTGGACAGGCACGGCTGACTGCTGGAGGCAGGAACTCGATGGGAATGGCCTCTAAGTCTCGCGTTCAGGTACTGCAGAATTATCTTCACTTTTGAGTAGTTTCCCTCCGAAGAGCAAGTAGATGCAGCCTGACCTGGAAGATTTTTGTTTGTAATTCACCTCATGTTATCTCCACAACCCACTCTCCTAACCTCACAGGCGAGATTGTTCGGCCCGGCAGTCTTTGAGTCAAAGAAGCTTCAGGTGGTGTTCATGGGAGCAGAGGAGGAGCAGCACCCGGCACACGCCCCACTGCCTAGGATGTACACTTTCACCCACTCGGATGTAACCGCTGGGCTCACGCTCGCCATCGCTCACGAATTCAACAAATCCCAGGTAGAGCTCGATTCAGGCCGTGATTAAGTGGCCTTAATTCCCTCCTGCTCTTTAGTTTATTGCTTATACATTCTACGTTAGATTTGTGAAACTCAGGTCTTCACTCAATTCACGTTGAATTCATGCATCTCGTTTCTTTGCTCCCTTTTCTTTCTTTCCATGGCATGATGCAGTTTATGGGCTGGTACTCTCGGCTGCAAAGGGACGAGGTTCTTGCAGTGTGGCGCCAGCATTGCAGCCTAGCAGACTTCCGTTCGCCCTACTTGAGGGATCCTTGGCAAGAGGTTCACCCAGAGCATGCTTGCAATGGCTCAGACTGCCACATGTCACTCCACGTTCACTGCCACATCAGCGGAGGTCACTTCCTGCTGAACGCCATTGCAGCTCTCAGATTCTGGATCTTCAGGAAGGAGCTTCCAGTCGTTTTGGAGGCATTCAGACACGGCGACAGGGCACTCTTTGATAAGCACCCAGGTACGTCTTTGACAAACACTTGTGTGATTGTTCCAAGTGAAATGGGTTGATCTGACATCATATGTTGTGTTTTCAGACCTAGAGGATGCACTGGTGTGGGTGCACTTCCATTCCAACATTCCAGAGTACAACAGACACGAGTGCTGGGGACATCTGCATTCAGCAGCCCAGGTAAGAGCTCAGTCTTTTGTTGTGGGGGGACTGAATTGTACCTCTGTCCATGCCAAATATGAACATCTTCCACTGTGCCCACTGTGCCCCACCTTGCAGACTGGAGCAGAGAAGACACAATCTCAACTCAGCTACGGGGCACAAAGAGTGGTCGAAGCTATCGGTACAGCAGCAGAGAGGGAGCATCAGTGGCCGGTTGAAGAGAGAAGAGTGGCCATGGCAGGCTTCGAAATCCCTCCACCTCCATATGAGGGTGATAACAACAAAATCAACTAGGGTAGTTTGTTCCCAGTGTAAAGCCTAGCTGCTAGGAAGCATGCCATGCCATTTTTTGCTCTTGCTTGTTCGGATACTAGTTCCGGCGCTTGAGTTTGCTATGTACATAGTTTGTTGTGCATCACCAAATAGTTTCTTAGTTTGGGTTTCTTTTAGTTTGTTGTGTGTGATTCATTCTGTAAATAATAAATGTGTGGTAATACAATCTCAAATACGTCGACCATCTGCCCTGTCCTAACTCCTGATACGGTACATACTACTCAACATGAGTACCCAGCCGCAACTGGTTTTATCCCACTTTCTCAGTAAAGCGGATTCAATCCTTCGCGTCTACGACTCCTCCATTTGCGATTGCAAAAGTAGCTTCAGATTCAGGCAGATTTGGAGAGTCGATGACCTTGCATATGCGCTGCTCTCCCTTACCCTTGCGGAACATCAACCGCACGGTGGAAGCATGAGCCATCACATGACCTCCAGCAGGTTTCTTGGGGTCAGCTACGAACGTTCCTCCTCCAGGGTCAGCAATGACTGCCATTTCAGCACATAACGACAAGTCAGTTTGGAACGCTGAGTATTCTGTTGGAAGTACCGTACTATCAGTGGCGACTGCTTTACCTTGGTTTGTAAGAAAGACAGCCACGTTAAACTCCTCAGATATCTTCGTGATTCTTGAGAGCATTTGAGCCAGTTTTTGCTGAAGGATGAAATATTGTTAGGAAAAAACAAGTGATTTATGTTGGACTAATTAGTCGTATCGTACCTGTCTCTCCGCTAGTTCTCCACGCCCCGTGAAGTCCACCCTGAACAAAGCTGTGATGGAGTCGATGATCTGTCCAGACGTATCAATTTCCAGTTAAACCCAGTGAATGTGGGCAGACTTCAATGGTATCAATTTATAGGCAGAAGCGAAGATGCTCTCACCAGCAGCTTGAACGGCTCTTCAGCCATCTTTGCGGCAAGTGCAATGAGAAGCTGGTATTGATGCTCGTGTGTGTAAGCTCGAGCGAATATGATCTGCATTACGGCGATATTCAGTGTCACAGCGTAACATACATACACGAAACCTGAAATGGAATTTGCTTACATTGTCAAGCACCGCATTTGGATCCAAGCCAAACCTCTCAGCAATTGGAACGATTCTCTCTGGACGGCTGATATACAAACAGGCAAATATAAGTAACTTGCAGCCTGGTACGTCCATCACAACAACTTCTGGTTGGATGATCACTTACAATGTTCCTTCGGTGTCAATGAAGGCCACTTTACCATTGCCACCTTTCATGTTGATTGGCAGCTGCGCAGCGGATAGTCCAGGTAATTAGCAAACGTTGCTTTTGTCAAACTTTTTCTGTCATCTTTCACATAGCATACCTGTGTGGCCACACATAATGTGTGTGCAAGTTGAGTCTTGCCCGTCCTGAAAGACGTAAACCTGTTAGGTCCAATACTACACGTGGAGCAGCAAAATATTTTTTTTGGGCAGCGATAGGCTTACCGAAATTCACCAAAAGCTTCAGTTATGGCCATAGTCTCAACACCACCTGGAAACGTGACATTGTCAATGGTCTTGAGTCCTACTGAAGAAAGAAACAAACAAATAAAATGCATGACAGCGAACCTCCAAGGAGATCGTCCAAGGCCTGGCTTCCTGTCGTGATCCTTACGACTTGTTTCCTCTGAAAGTATTACATCATGAGTGAGGGTGCTCACACAGCTAAATGTGACTAATGGTGCATGTGAGCATGAATCCTTACCAGGTTCAGAGCTTCGTTTCCCGTAACGTAGCCACAGTTCTGTAACCAAATTTACTCAAACCATAAGTTAAAGCTTCCTTGTTAGAAGCGAATGCAACAGATAGTGAAGAAACTCACCACTAGTTTACCCGCGGCCTCAAGAATCTTCTCGACTTTGGCATCGGAAAGACCCTTGATGTCGCACAGGGCCTGCAAAGAAAGGCACGGTGGGTATCGAGGGTGGCACCGACTCCCAGAGAGATAGGAATCCTGGTAACATAGCTACCTTCTTTGTCCACATCATCAGTCCATTGCAAGTGTAAACTCCAGCATCCTGAAGTTTCTTAACGTCTCCAGCATTTATTCCCTGCGTGATCACTGTCGAGAACGTCAGCCCCTCGTTACAGCAAACTGAAGTTTCTCAATATTTGGATTCCTACACTTCTCGATTGACTCAAATGTTTCTTCTTCATCTTCAGATTCCTGGGCAGCATCAACCACATGGGGAGCTTGTTCTGCCACGGCTTCCGACCTGAAGAAACAATATGTTCGTGAATGAAAAGCTAGGGAGTTGTAGCGGACACGGATTGCCTAAACAGCCGCTTACATGTTTCTGTTTGATCGAAGTGGAGCTCAAAGTGAAGCAATACGTGACTCTCAAGGGACACGGTTGAAGCAACGACAAGGAGTTGGCTTGAACACCCCTGAAGGTATCTGTTGTGTCAGGACGTTGAACTGACTGAAAATGAGATGCTTGGAACTCTCAACTTGAGCCGAAAACGAATCTCGGGAATTCGGAAAGCGGGAAGCCGGTCCCTCGGGATGATCCAGCATTTGGTTGGTCGCACCATTATTCCCGAAGAAACGCGATTCGGAACATTAAAAGTGATGTGGAGATTGTACACCCGAGAACCAGGTGAGGTACAAAAGTTATTGTCTGCTCTTACAACTAAAAAATGGACTTACTGGCTACATCCAGACCTTAACCTCAAATCACCAGAGTGAATTCAATAACATCTTGGTACGCACATCATTGATTATTCCCAGAACCTTCATCAGAACGAATATGTGTACAACATGAAAATACAAACCAGATTACAATAGAAGCATGCGTTGGGGCGTTCTACACTGGACAGACTGCGTGAGTGCATCTCTCCCAGCTAACTTCAAGGATTGGAAATTTCTTCACCCCAAGGTAACTCAACTTGGACTCTTCAAGCAGCTGCCGCACACGGCTGGGGATGGAGGAGCTTCTCAAGCAGCTGCCACACACGTCATAGGATTACCAGCAGGAGCATGGAACCCGTTATCACACTTGCACACATATTTCGGCTTGGCTGCTGCTGCCACTGACGTATCCACAACACACACCCCATTGCCGCCACACTGCCCCACTGGTGTCCCTGTTCCGCAGAACGCGCTACACTGCTCAGGAAGCCTCTGACCCTCCGCCGTACACTCCGCATCCCCTACACCGTCAGTCGTGAGGCAGTTCCCCTCCACAAGAACCTTCTCAGGATACTCAGCAGGGCAGACTTGAGATGTGTCAGGGTAGTCCTCCGACCCGGGCACCTGAATAGTCAACTGCGTGCTGCCCTCAAAATAATTCCCCGAAAGGTCCAGGAGAACGCTGAACATGTAGCACGAGATGCTGTCAGAGCCATCAGGACCCGGAGAGCAGCCCTGGCCAAGGTTCGGAAATTGAGGCAGTGGACCCGTGAGAAAATTGTTGGCCAGCTTCACTGCCCGCAAAGTCTGCCCGAACTTGGAAAATGTTGCCGGAACGACCCCGTAGAACTGGTTGCTGCTCAAGTCGAGGTTCATCATGTTTGGGAAGTTGCCCAAGAAATCCGGAATGACCCCAGAAAGTTTGTTCTGACCGACGTCGAAGATTGACAGTGCAGGGAGGCCAGCTATGCTTCCTGGAATCTGCCCCGTAAACTGGTTGTCGCTCAGATCGATGGCTGAGATTTGCCTACAGTTGCCGAGGCTGGAGGGAATCGCCCCGGAGAACTTGTTGGCGGAGAGGCCGAGCGACTGCAGCGACGTCGCATTCGCGAAAACGTCGTCGGCGATGGTCCCCGTGAAGACGTTACCGTCAATCTGCAACATCGCCATGGGAACAACCGGCCTCCTGAAAACCTCGTTAAAAGGAAACTCGCCAACAAGGTTATTATCGCTGAGGTACAGCGACTGCAGACCGGGTAACGCCGCAAGTAACCCTTTGGGAATGCTTCCTCTCAAGTGGTTCCCCCTAAGGTCCAGCGCGGTCAGCCCAGTGAGCTTCGTCAGCAGCATCGGGAGTGGGCCGGTGATCTCCGCACGTGGTAATTCCAACGCTGTAACAGCTCCAAATTCGTTTATCGTTACACCCCACCAGAGCTCGGCCTGCGCCGACTGCAGCCACGTTTCCGACTGATAGAAATTCCCTCCCCAGGCCTTTTTCAGCGCGAGGAGCACGTCTTGCTGCGTCATGTTGACGCTGATCGGCATCGTCTCGACACTGTTCCCGACGAACTTCGCCATCGTGCGGTCGCGTTGCTTGAGCTTGTTCAGCATGTCCTGCACGCCCTTGGTGAAACCCTTGAACGGGCTCTTGAACATCGGCGACGCCTTGTTCAGAGGTTTGAAGGCGAGGCGACGCCGGGGAACGTCACCGGGGCCGGGCCAGAAGAGAAGGAAGGCTGCTATGATGGCTAGCAGCCCTACGCCGACGGATTGTAACCTCGACGCTGGTTTGGCTGGCGACATGCTGGCAGGAGTTCGGGATTCCTACTCCGAAAGAACAGCTGCGCGACCTACCGGGAATAATCTAGTCGAGATACTATGCACGACAGAGCGTTGGCAGATGGACACGAGAGTTGGAGCTGGAGAGCGACTGAGTCCTGGCTTATCAAACGGCAGGACGCGGTGGGTTGCCTTCTGGGTAAGGCAAGGAATTACGTTTCTGAACGCGGATGATAGATGATTTCTGTCTAGACTAAAATGCAACCCTGCACGATTTCCTAAGAGGCCTGCAGATGGAAAATATTTCAACAATGTGTGGTTGACCAGCTGGATGGGGAAAGGTGCGAGCGAGCATGTGAGTGAGGGAGGGTGGCTGGCTGGGCCAAGCGATTGTTTGCTTTCGTGACTACAGCAGTTCCTTGTGGTTGAGCGGTGGTGACTTCTGAGTCGCGAAGCGATTCATGACTCCTCTGGCTCAGCGAGCAGCAGCAACATGGCTTGGCTTCATCCATGTTGCTCGACGGGAATGACGGCGATGTTGGGGAAATGCCTTCCTCCTCCTGATGAACTGGTGAAGCTTGCTGGCGCAACCTGAGAGGGCTTTCCCTCTCAATCGCACGGTGGAAAATGAACGGAAGCAGTGACTACGATGAATAGACGGTTCGACGAGGGCGGATAACACCTGTGACAGCGGCGCAAGCATCAGAAAAGGCACCTGCGCCATCTCCGGGTAGGAGGCGGTGAAGTTGTTCAGGTGCTTACTCGACACCTTCTGTTGAATGATGCGTTGTTGGTAGGAATGGTTACGCAACTGACACGGCATAAAATATAAAACGAGAGTCTCGTATTGTTTGCTGGACATTTCTCAATGTGCCAAGAAACTTGCATAATTGGCATTGATTCATATTCTGAGCTGTAATAGCAGTTCTTTACCTCCAATTTTATTCATCATAATTTCATAAAGGTATACCGTGTGATTGTTAAATTTAGAACGTCAAATGCACTAGAATGTGTAGGTTCACTATCTAGGTGAACAACTGTATACTGAAGCTTTAACGAAGCTGCTTTTGTTGCGAAGAAACAAGGAATCTGGACCCAACGTCCTCCTCCACAGTTAACACATGACAGCAAAACGGAAAGCTCCGTCTACAAAGCGGCGATTTGTCTGACAGATTCATTAGTAGCCAAGCATCCAGCAAACACCTTATCAAATGCCGTCCTGTCAGCAGCTCGCCTGGATTTCCGCCATTCTTACATGTAGTTAATCGCATTTGTGAATCTACCTCCAGCTGACAGCGACTACCGAATGGCTATACGCCACGATTGGTCCTTAACGCGGACAGGCTACTAGATGTCTTGGCTTTTTAGCTTCCTGAATTGCGTGTCTGACTAGGCCACACACTAAGTCCGCCAGAAGTCCCAGGCTGTTACTGTCTTTGGTACGTCATTGTCAAGCTCCTGGTTGCTTCTGCCCGGTTCCTCCCGGTTCCTATTGTCCGTATGTCACCCCTCGCATTCTCCTCGCAATGGGAGGTGCTGTGAAGCCTTAGCGGGGAAGTACTATTGTCTGCTTGCGCATGCGACGGATCGTTTTCCATTCCGACCTTGAGTGCACTGGATCCTCGCTATAAGCGCTCGCAGATGACATGTCTCGAAGCTGTACAAATCTGACGAGGATTCCTTTGTTCTCTCACCGGAATCATAGAACCTACACATTGTCGAGACCATTGTACCTTCTACTTGCCCTCGCGTGTTTACTCACCCGTGGTAGAGCTGCTTCGATACTAGATGACGATTCTGCTCTGAAGTCCCCTTCAGCTAGTGTTACCAGTAACCCTAATCGTCAATCTCGCCGTTTAACAATCTTCCCGTGGAGACGCACTAACGTTAGTTTGCTACCGTCTTTTATCAATGGAGACAGCAGAAACGGCCACTCGATTCTTGCGGACGAAATTGCAGGGACAAGCGGTGGCGGGGTCGGCGGAAGCGGCGGAAGGGGAGGAAATGGCGGAATGGGGGAAGCAGGCGGAAGCCAGGACACTAGCCTCAGGCGGAGGCTATGGCAGCGGTTCATGGGCGGGGACGAGGCGGAGAAGCAGAAATCGGACAAGGAGCATGGGGGGATCGGGATGGGGATGGTTCTGGAGCGAAGGGAGGAGAGGCGGGAGAAAATCGCGCGGGAGTTTGTGCCGTTAGACCGGCTAGATCGTGAGGAAAGGGGGCTGAGGGGATTCGCGAATGGCCTCTCGCGGAAAGAGACGGGAGGAGGTGGAGGAGCGGCGGATACCGGGACTGGTAGTCGTGAGAGCAGTGCCAGTGGCAGCAGCGGTAGTGGTGGCAGTGGCAGCGGAGGAAGCAACTCCAACGGCGGTGCTGCTGCTGTAGGAGGTGCAGCAGGGGAAGGTGGGACAGGGGGTGATAAGCACGACAGGGCAAGCTCGAGAGATGGAGGGGGGGAGCAGCAAGGGAGCAACGGGAAGGTTAAGAGAGAGGCAACGCAGACCCAGCTAGACGAAGGCGATATCCCTCTGCTTATGCCTTTAAAGGGGTTGTTTAAAAGCAAGGATCTTGACGAGGAGATTAAAGAGGAGGAGGAGGAGGAGCGGAAGAAGGGCGAGAGGGGGGCGGAGAGGAAGCGGCAGGTGGCGAGGCGGGAGTTTCGGAGCGATGATTGGAGTCACTTGGGGGAAACGAGGGCGGGGTTTTCGTCTAGTGAAAGCGGTGCTGGTGGTGGTGGTGGCGTTGCTGGTGCTGGGGGAGCGAACACTATGGGTGCTGGGGATCACAACGTGGGAGGTGATGGGTCTGCCAGGGATAGTGGTAGTGCTAGTAACGAAGCCAGCCATAGCGCGTCAGGTGCCTCTAACGGAGTTTCACAGGCCACCGCAGGTACCACAGCCAGCACTGGTGCTACAAAAGAGGGCGAGAATGGAGCTGCTAAGCCAAGTGTGACTAAAACGAACGAGACGAGTGGTGAGAAGGGCGGCGACGTGGGTCAGCTGGTGGGACGAATCCTTGATAGGCTGGACGATATGGAGGACGAGGGGGGTAAGTTCAACAAAACCCTCGAAAAACAAGAGGCAGTTCTGGAAACAGTCGCCCGGGTGGGTAAACACCACGTCCTAGAAGAGGTGAAGGAGAGGGAGCAGCGGGAGGAGCAGGAGGACCGACAGGTGTTAGAGGAAGCAGAAAGGGAGGAAGCCCAGGAGAAGATGAAGCAGCTAGAGCAGGTAGCTCTAGCCATGGCTGCTGCTGAAGCAGAAAAGAAGGCGAAAAAGAAAGGGGTGGCAGCGGTGGCGGCGGTGGTGAGTCAGGGGGTGAAGGCGAGTGAAGTGTCGCTTTTCGACCTGGTTTTTGGGCGGGATAGCAGTGGGAAACAACCTCCCCCAGTTTCGCCCTCCCCCAGCCTCCGAACGAAGAACCTCACCAGGCTAGCCGCAGCTAAGAAGCGGTTTGCAGAGAGAGCAGGGCGGGGGGCGAGGGAGAAGGAGAGATCGGAGAGGGTGGAGGAGGGGGAGAACGATGTTCCAAGGCTGATAGACTCGCAGGACAATGAGTACGTTATAAGCAGCCCCGGTAAGGGGTCGAAGATGCAGCTGCAGGAGGACTTTATGCTTATATCGGATGTGGTGATGGTGATTGTGGCGGCGGCGCTGGGCGGGCTTGCGTGTGGGCTGGTGGGGCAGCCGATCATTCTGGGATACATCGTTGCAGGGATGATCATTGGGCCTGGAGGGTTCGGCCTCATTCACGAGCTTGTACAGGTGAGGTGTGAGTGGGGTGTGAAGGAAGCCCATATGTGCAATGCACTGCCACTGGCATGGGGTAGGGCTCGCGTGTGGGCTGGTGGGGCAGCCGATCATTCTGGGATACATCTTGGCAGGGATGATCATTGGACCGGGAGGGTCTGGCCTCATTCACGAGATTGTACAGGTGAGACGAGGTGTGAGGGAGGCCCATTGATGCATTGCACCGCACTGCACTCCACTGCACTGCACTCTACTGCACTGCACTCTACTGCACTGCACTCCACTGCACTCTACTGCACTGCACTCTACTGCATTATCAACCCCGCCTCCCCCTCTGTCTCTCTCCCACTCCCTCCGTCTCCCTCCCTCCCACTCTCTCGGTCACTTCTTCCCTCCCTCTCCCTCAAACGGCCCCTCTCTCTCTCGCCCGCAGGTGGAGACCCTAGCCCAGTTCGGGGTGGTCTTCCTCCTCTTTGCCATCGGGGTCGAGTTCAGCCTCGCCCGCATGCAAGGCGTGCGCGGTGGCGCTAGCGGGCGGCAAGGGGTGCCTGCATGCTCTCCATCTCCACCTCCTTCTTTCTCACTCACTCACTCATTCACTCTCTCCCTCCCTCTCTCTCTCCCTCCCACCATCCCTCCCTCCCTCGCTCCCTCTCTCGCTCACTCCCTCTCATTCCGTCCCTCCTCTCTCTCGCTCTCTCAGGTTGAAACTCTAGCCCAATTCGGAGTAGTCTTCCTACTCTTCGCCATCGGGGTCGAGTTCAGTCTTGCCCGCATGCAAGGCGTGCACGCGGTGGCGTTAGCGGGCGGCATAATTCAGATCGGTCTGTCCATGGTGCTGGGCGGCATCGTCAGCTCCAACACGCCCCAGGGGCTGTTCATAGGGGGGTTCCTCTCCATGTCGTCCACTGCCGTGGTGCTGAAGTGTCTGATGGACATCAACAGCATGGGCACCGAGCACGGGCAGGTACGCCTTTGTTGGGGGAGGAAGGCAGGGAGGGGAGTAGGGGTGCTGGGCGGCATCGTGAGCTCCAACACGCCCCAGGGGCTGTTCATAGGAGGCTTTCTCTCCATGTCGTCTACTGCCGTGGTGCTCAAATGTCTGATGGATATCAACAGCATGGGGACAGAACACGGGCAGGTATGGCAGCAGTGGCAGGTCTGCGTGCGTTGGGAAGGGAGGCAGGGAACATGAGCTGAAAAGGGTTCTGGGCGGCATCGTCAGCTCCAACACGCCCCAGGGGCTGTTCATTGGGGGATTCCTCTCCATGTCGTCCACTGCTGTGGTGCTCAAGTGTCTCATGGACATCAACAGCATGGGGACTGAGCATGGGCAGGTACGGTGATTCAGAGAGTGGGTATGAGGAGCCTACACAACTTGTTCCCCAGGGGCTGTTCATAGGGGGATCCCTCTCCATGTCATCAACAGACGTGGTGCTCAAGTGTCTGATGGACATCAACAGCATGGGCACCGAGCATGGGCAGGTACGGTGATTCAGAGAGTGGGTATGAGGAGGCCTGCTCGCTCGGTGGCTTCTGAGTCACCTCATTAGCCTGGCTTCTCGCGTGCTTCTTCGTCCCCCGCTTCCTCCCATTCCTCCTTTCCCCCTTTCCAACACCCCTTCTCCCTTTACACTCCCCTTCCCCTCTCCCCTCGCTCCTCTCCTCCCCTCTTCCCTTTTCAGATCATGCTCGGGACTCTCATCTCCCAGGATTGCGCCCTCGGCCTCCTCCTCGCAATAATGCCGGCGCTCGCCGCCCGCCCCGCCTCCGCCTCGGCCATCCTGCTCGCGCTGCTCCGAGAGCTCCTGATCCTCCTCGCCTTCGCTCTCATTGCCTGGCTGCTAGCGCGCTTCTTCGTCCCCCGCTTCCTCCCGCTGCTGCTGCGCCTGGCACGGGGATCGTTCAACAGTGAAATCTATCACTTAGGCGTGGTGGCGGTGTGCCTGTGCGTCGCTCTGCTCTCTGAAGGGCTTGGTCTGTCGCTGGAGGTCGGGGCGTTTGTCGCTGGCCTCATGCTCTCAGGTGAGCCTTCCCTCCTCTCTTCTTCTGCTAACGCTGCTGCTGCTGCTTCCTCCTTCTCCTCCGCTTCCTCCCGCTGCTGCTGCGCCTGGCACGGGGATCGTTCAACAGTGAAATTTATCACTTAGGCGTGGTGGCCGTGTGCCTGTGCGTCGCACTGCTTTCCGAGGGGCTCGGACTGTCACTTGAAGTTGGGGCCTTTGTGGCTGGCCTCATGCTCTCAGGTGAGACCTCTCTCCTCTCCTCCACACCACACCACTCTACTCATAGAGAGGCTCTTTAACTTTTTTCTTCGTCAAATTCTATTCCCTAATCTCTTCCTCTTCCTCTCCTCCCGTCCTCTCCCCCTGCCCTCCAGGCAACAGCTACAGCGAGCGCACTTTACACCAAGTGGAGCCCATCCGCAACCTCTTTGCAGCACTCCTTCTGGCGAGCAGATGCAGTGCAAGCCATAACCCTCTCATCCCTCCACCCCAACTCCCCACCTCCAGGCAACAGCTACAGCGAGCGAACGCTACACCAAGTGGAGCCCATCCGCAACCTCTTTGCAGCGCTCTTCCTGGCAAGCATAGGCATGGTCATGCACCCGCTCTTCCCCCATCTCTCCCTCACTCCACCTGCCTTCCCCCACTCCTCCAGGCAACCCCTACACTCTTTCATTCCCCATTCCTGCTCTTCTTCCTCTCCCCCCTGTCCTCTCTCCACCTCCTCCCCTGCAGGCAACAGCTACAGCGAGCGCACACTCCATCAAGTGGAGCCCATTCGGAACCTCTTTGCAGCGCTCTTCCTGGCGAGCATAGGCATGGTCATGCACCCACTCTTCCTCTGGCAGCACATCGACATCCTCCTCATTGCTGTCGCTGTGGTGTTCGTCTCCAAGGCCTGCCTTGTGGGCTTCGTGGTGAGTGGTGGTGATTGGGGAGTGCTGCTGAGGGGTGGCGAGCGGTGATGAGGGATGGTGAGGGGTGTGAGGAGCTGTTCTTCAGAATATCTTAATCTTTTCAAGAGATCTTCTCCACGGACCAAATCTCTCTTTGTCCCCTCCCGAACCAACCAGGTTCGGGCGTTTGGCTACAGCACCGGCACAGCAGCATCAGTCGGCGTGGCGCTAGCTCAAATTGGCGAGTTCTCCTTTGTGCTGCTCTCCCGCGCTCAAACCCTCAAGCTCGTGGGCCACAAGCTCTACCTCCTGCTCATGGGCACCACCGCTCTCTCCCTCGTGCTCACCCCCTTCACCTTCCGTGATCTGCACTCCGCTTTAGAATCCCTCTCTCTCTTTCCCCCTCCCCCTCCCGCTCCCCCTCCCCTCCCGGACCAACCGACCAGGTTCGGGCATTCGGCTACAGCACCGGCACGGCAGCCTCGGTGGGAGTCGCTCTGGCTCAGATCGGGGAGTTCTCCTTTGTGCTGCTCTCCCGAGCTCAAACCCTCAAGCTGGTCGGCCACAAGCTCTACCTCCTGCTCATGGGCACCACCGCTCTCTCCCTCGTGCTCACCCCCTTCACCTTCCTCTTCGTCCCCCGCCTCGCCCTACTCTTCCCCTCCACTCGCTCCCGGCCCCGGGCTAAGGCGTCCGCGTCCCCCGCCCCTGCTGCTGCACAGGAGAAGATCAAATCGGGGTATGGGATCAAATCGGCGGCTGTGAATGGGGTGGGCGGGGAGGATGGTGGTGGTGGGGGTGGTGCTGGTGGTGGGTTGTTGGGTGTTTTGTCTGGTAGTGGGGGGGGTGGTTCTGGTGGAGGTGCAGCTGGTGGGAACCCTGGTGGGGGTAGTGGTGATGGTTACCACCACCATGCGAGTCCGTTAACCGGGATTTCCCCTAGAGACGCAGCAGCAGCAGATTCAGGTGATTCTTCAGCTGTTGTTTCAGGTGGCGTTTTGTCTTATCTGCTGCGCCAGGTGCAGCCACGCACCCGCAACGCTGCTAAAGCTGCAGGAACCTCAGGTGGTGGTGGTGCTGCTGCTGCTGCTGCTGCTGCTGGTACTGCTGCTGCTGCTGCTGCTGCTTCCAATAAAAGTGATGGGGTATCAACATCGCAGTCTGGGTTCGGTCGAGCGCTAAGTGTTGGTGGCAGCAGCACTACTCTCACAGCAACCAGCAGTGGAACAAACAGCAGTGTAACACTTGCCAGCGCAAGCATAGGGCGGAGCAGCAGCAGCCGCACGGAAAGAGAATACAGGGATAGAGATTGGGAGCGAGACAGGGACAGGGATAAAGCATCCGCTGCAGCTGCAGCAGCAGCAGCAGTAACAGAGGCTCTCAATCGAGCTGGGGGAGGAGCAGCAGCAGGGGGAGCAGCAGCAACAACAGGATTTGTGATAGAAGCATCCTCCTCCTCCTCCTCCTCCTATCCTCACGCCCTCGTCTCCCCAACATCAATATCACCCGGTATAAGAAGCCCACCCAGCGTAATCACACCCGGTGCAAAACCTCCCACCAATCGCCCCTGGGGCTCCCCAAGCAACACACAGAGGCTGTTGGGAAAAACAGTGTCAGGGAAAGGCCTGGTACAGAGTCCCAAGGTGGTCGGACAAAGCCCGAAGGTCTCGAGTCAGACTCCCAAGACTGGAACCCAGAGCCCCAAACTGGCTTCACTTGGGGAGAACGCGCAGGTGACGAGTCCTACAAAGGGGTTGAGAGAGGTTGGGAGGGGTGCGGGGGCAGGGGGTACGGGTGGGGGGATGGGGGGGTCTGGGGTAGGGAGGTCACAGCAGGGGGGGCAACAGCAGGGGGGGAAGCAGGAGGGGCAGCACTGGGGGCAACAGCAGGGGCAGCAGCAGGAGCAGCAATGGGGGCAAGAGGGGGGAGAAATGGAGGATGGGGATCAGCGAGGGGGCTATAGATTCTCCACAGCTTCGTTTTTCACAAGGTGGAATCAGAAATCACCCAGGGAGCATGGACCGTGAGAGACTGAAGTTGAGTCTTACCGGTACCAGGTACGGTAGTTGTTGCACTGGCCTGTTTCTGTTAAGGGTATGATGACTTGCGGGGATTTTTGTGGAGTGTGCTTCGATATGGCGTATAGCCCTCTTGCATACGAGTGACTCGGTTAGTGTCTTGGGATGAGCTGGTTATTTCTCCGTGTTACGGCATTTCCTACATTTATTTTTTCAGCACAGGAATGGTGCAACTCAGCTCAGCAACATGGAATATTCACTCAACTGTGACGGGTTGTTGTATACCGAGCAGGGCCTCAGATTCACTTTTAGGGTCGTCACCCCATCAGGGTCCCCCTGCGTGTTAACTCTGATTTTCAGTGTCCCAAAAAAAAAAAGGCTGAAATGTCAGTGTTGCGAATTTTTAAAGCCTTATGCATCAGTGTACCTTTTGCAAAAACACTGACTCTCTATTAAAGTCCTACTTTTAGATAATTAGTCACAAGAAGAGTTCTAGTTCTAATAGTCTCTAATAGGGGTCATGCATGCATCGTCGGAATCAAAGACATCGTCATCACCCCCCTGAGCCTTTGGCTCTTCTTCCCACTCCTGAAGTGCCTCCTTTCCCCTGCCACTACCCTGCCCCTCCCTTGCTGGAGCTGCTGCCACATTGCCAAAGGGCCGGCGCTTCTTGTAGCCTCGCCAGATCTGCACGATTTCGTTGTAGTCGGGGTCGTACTCGAGGAGCGACATCGTGACCAGATCTTCAAGGCGGGCGTCTTTGAGGCTCTCACGCTGCCACGATTTGATGATGTTCTGGCGGGAAAACCCGCGCTCACATTCCACTGTGCTCAGCGGCAGTACGGCGACAGCCACCCAGAGATGCACAAGGTTGAAGTAGCTAGTCGTCCAGTCGCTTGTCTTCAGCATCGCTGTGAGGCCGGCATGGAAGCTTCTCTCGATCTTCGGGGCACCTGCGAGGATGGGGCAAAAAGCTCGCAGTTCTTTGATCGCCCGGCGCTTGTCGATCCCTGCCAGACAAAGCAGAAAAGAGATCGTTAGTCTGAGTGACCGACGGGGCAGACACCTCCACAGGCATTAATGTTCAAAATGTTGACACGATGCGTGTTTAGTACAGCACAGGTGCACGATCAATCAAGACGTACCAGGAAGGATGTAGTCTGTCTCTAGTGCCCTGAACAGCTTGACGAGTGACATGAGCCACTCGAGACACTGCTTGTGCCGCTCTCCTCTCTCTGGCGGGTACTCATCGGGCATGAACAGCCTGACTCCCACAAGGGAGTCCAAGTCTGCAAACCTCTTGGTGAGGTTGCGCACGAGCGTCTCTGCAAACGAGGTGCAGAGATCCACGCAGTTGTAGTGATTTCCCAGCGTTGGGTAGTCCTCGCTCGGGTTCTCGTGCAGTTTGAACGTGTGTTTAGTGGGCCGACCGTCAGAGTCCACTCCTTGCACCGTCACCTCGGGGTTGTCACTGTCCGGCCCGTACTTCATGATGAACGGGGACAGGCGCGCGCTCAACCCGCCCCCAAACTCATCGCCGCAGTCGACGTAGCGGGTCTCCAGGTAAGAGATGGTTCTCCTGATCTGCGCGTGCACACCTGCAATGTCAAGCTATGTTTGGGCGACAGAAATAACATGGAGGGACACAAGGAAGTCGAGCCAGGTGGTGATTTCTCAGACGATTAGTGTTGCGTTTAACCGTCAACAATAGAACTGCATTGACATACACACACAGAAGCCACACATACAATAACAAGACATCATGACAAGTGCAGCACACACTGAAACGACAAGTCGCTCACCTCTCGCTGCTGGAAAGACTTGTTCAGGATGTTCAGCTGCTCGAGCACGTCGGCCAGGAAGTACAAGAGGAAGTGAAACCTGTAGCTCGTGGCGAGCTCGTACAGCGTTTCGTCCCACTCGTACAGCATGACGATGATCGCGGGGAAGACGGTCACCAGACGCAGAACAGCGTCACCCCTGGAGAGCCAGCGGACCTGGTGAATCCCCTGAAGCTCCAGGTTCGTGGACGTGAGAGTTCTTGAAGCTCCAGAAACCGTTGATGCCATGGGCCGGAACGGCCGAGATGCTCTGCGAGTTGACGGATGAGGCTGTCAACCATGTCGAACTCGGGAAGGGCCGCCGCTGCATGTTTTGCTGCGAGCGCCTCCCTGCAGGCACAGCACAACACAAAATAGCAACACGAGATATTAGCATAGGATGATGAAGAGAAGCAGCTTTAGCATGGTGCAACAATAAACGTACCTGTGGGCAATACAGTGGCTTGAGACGAGATGCGGTATGCGGAGGCGAAGCCGTACGACGAGGCCGTTCTTGCGCCCCATCATCACCTTCGCCCCATCGGATTCGCCAACACTGGATGCTGCAGCGAAACGGCCCAATGGTGTGAGGCGCCCCGCCAAAAAAACACCTCTCAACGTGAACCTAAGGCAACATTTCTAAGGGTGGTCCCGCCACGGGGTGCCTACATACAGGGAATCTGATATTCCCTGCAATTGCGGTCGAGGTGACATGGCACAGGTGAGATTCGCTTTCAGTGTCGGTTTCGTTACAACGTAGTGGCATCAGTGTACAACGGAAAAAAAACCTGAAATATCAGTGTGGCCAATAAAAAAACGCTGAAAGATCAGTCCTACAAAAATTCCAACTCTGACTTTTCAGGGTAGCTTGAAAATCGGCTGCCAAAATCAGGAATTTCAGGGTTTTTTTCCTGATATCTGAGGCCCTGATACCGAGTATGAACTGGATCCTCAGAATCGCTCGTTGTAGATGTTTCAAAATATATTCCATCGCAAAGCTTGTTACCGTATATCACGCACACACAAGCAAAATGCAAGGGAAAAACGAAACAGCTGCATACTACATATCTGGGACGCTAAGGATTCGGCTACTGTGCAATCAGCCTCCTTTTACTGTATCCCACCCCCCCTCCCCACTCCCTCCCCCCTCCCTCCCACCTTCCCGCATCTCCAGCCTTCGTCTCCCTCCCGCCACACTCCTTCGTGGCAGCAACAATCACGGACAAAGATAAAACACCATGCGTGTGTGTGTGCGTGTAGAAACACCTTCATGGTAACTTGTAACCAGCGCAGCCCTTGCAGCTCAAGCCCCTGCTGCAGCCACCACCTCCGCCACCCCTGGCTTTCTCTCCCTCACCACAATCCTGAGTGGCTTAGCCAGAGCCATGGTAGCCCTGTAACTGTGCAGTGCAACCAGCTCAACCCAGATAAACCCCATGCAGCACCCCATGCAGCACCCCATGCAGCACCCCATGCAGCACCCCATGCAGCACCCCATGCAGCACCCCATGCAGCACCCCATGCAGCACCCCATGCAGCACCCCATGCAGTACCCCATGCAGCACCCCATGCAGCACCCCATACAGCACCCCTTGCAGCACCCCTTGCAGCACCCCTTGCAGCTCATGCTCCTGAAGCAGCAACCACCGCCCCTTCCACTGCCTTTCTCTCCCTCACCACAATCCGAAGTGGCTTTGCCAGAGCCATGGTCAGCCCAAAAGTTTCTGTCATGTCCACTCCTCCAGCTGCCCTAGCATCTTCGGGCAGCTTGAAATCAAACCGCAAAACGAAATTTGCCATCAGGCGGGCAGACAGATCCAACCCCAGGTTCGTGCCAAGGCACCCACGCCTGCCCGAGCCAAAGGGCAGCAGGCTGAAGTTTTGCCCGGTCACGTCAAGGGCAGCAGGGTCAATGAACCTAGAGGGGTCAAATTCATGTGGGTTGATCCAGACCGTTGGATCGTGTGCAAGAGCCCAAGCATTGATCTGGATCATGGTGTTGGGAGGAATCTGGTAACCCCCTATAGGTACACTGTCAGTTGTCAGGTGAGGAATGAGGAATGGAGCGACAGGGTGATGCCTAAGTGTTTCTTTTAAAACAGCCTGCAGGTACGGCATTTCCGTTACCGGAAGAGAGACCATGAGATCAGATCCTCCTGCTGGAGCCGCCCCAGTTTTTGCAGCTGCACTTGCTGACCTGGCATAAGCCTCATCCACCTCAGCGCGGAGCCTTTCCAGCATGTCCGGGTGCTGTGCCAGCTCAGCAAGCGCCCATTCCACGGTCTTAGAAGTGGTATCAGTCCCGGCCATCATCATGTCAACTGCGAGCATCAGCATCTCGTCTTTATCCATCTCATCCTCTCCCTCCCCTTCGATCTCGAAGTGCAGCCTCGTTCCCTTCGTTTGAGGAACATCCCTTCTTCAGCACGATCCGCCGTCGCTCCTCAATGCACGCGCGCATGAAGCCGTGCAGCTGCGGCGTGAGGCGCTGCGCGCGCGCGTACATGCGCTGCGGGTCCAAGTAGCTCAGCAAAGGGACGTAATCCGCGATATTGAATGCTCCTGCGACTGCAAAACCCTCCTCGATAATCGCAAATGCCACTTCTCCTTCTGCTCTGTCTGTCATAGACGACAAGTTAACTTCTGGCATGTCCTCTGTCAGGGGGGATAGTAGTAACTTCAGTTTTTCTTCTGCCGCTGCCGCCGAAGCCTCAGATCCAATAGCCGGAGCTGCGGCAGCCGCGTCGGCAGTGCCGCGGACCCCGCCCCCACGTTTCTCGCCGCTCATTGCGGCGATGCGTTCGTTCCAGTCGATGCGCATCGCGGCGTCGAGAATCGCCTTTGGCGTGGTGCCGGCCGCGCCGCGAATCGACGAATAGCCGAAGCGCTTCCCGACAGCAAGGCGGAGAATGTTGTTCAGCGTAGCGCGATTCAGATACCTTCGCACCTCGATTCCCTCCTCTGCAGCGGCGGCAGATTTCGTGGCACCGGCAGCAGCACAGCTACTAACAGAAGTAGTAGCACCCGTTTTAGTCACATCCGCAGCAGCAACGTCAGCAGCGATCGCGTCGAGCATGTCGCGAATCTCCCCCTCTCGCACGGGAAGGCTCTCCTGCAGTTTCTTCGCAGAGAGAAGGTGGAGCGTCGCCAGCCGTCGCATCTTTCGCAAATGTTCGTTGGCTGGCGAAAACGCGATGTTTTTGCCGTCGAGAGTGAGCATCGCCACGGTGGGAGGAAGCGGACGTGACGCGCAAAGTCTATCCTTCGTTTTAAGCACCTCTCGAGCGAGTTCCGGCGACGAAATTACTACTGAAGGCGTGGAACCAAACCAGACGCTCAGGATCGGGCCGTACCTGTCGGCCAGCTTCGCGAGGGAGCGGAAAGGCAAGGGTCCCAGGTCCGGGAGGTTGCCGAGGATGGGCCATGGGGAAGGGCCGGGGGGAAGGGAGCGACGGCGGCGGAGGAATGAAAGCCACGAAGTCGAAATGAGAACCGCGATGGCTGCGATCACGGCTGTGATGATAAAATGCGAGTCGGCTGATACCAGACTTGAAAATTCGACTCGGCTTGAAGAGGTTGGGCCAGGGAAAAGCTGCTGGGTCGAGTTGAATTTGCTAGAAGACCATCCTGTGCCAGGAAATGCATCAGCGGCAGCCATTGCGGCAGAACTTGCTCGCCTGGTATGAGAGCGCAGAAAATTGCGAGAAATCTGAGGCTCAATCAGTACTTGGCAGCTGCAAGAAAGAAAGCTAAGCTATATCTGGAGACACTCTGAAGAGTTGAGAGAAAAGCAAGTCATGGTATGGTGCGGGGATAGCAAAACGTGCGGCGCATTTTATATGTGGCAATCTTTGTGAAGCCATTTCCATTTGCCTTGGGCACGCCGCGTTCTGAATTCCAGATTGCAGGATTGAAGGCTGGGCAATGCCGAACCGCAAATTGCAGCGATGAGGTGTCCATCTTCGCACGCTATGACGAGGTGACCAGTTTCGCACGCAAGGGTAGTTTCGTTCGCATGAATTGTTCCCTGCTGGACAGGGCAAGCAAGCTTGACTAGGCGAGAAAGACGAAAACCGTCGTTACGAGAAGCTGAGGTAAGCGACACTTTCGTGGAAGCTTTTGGAGTACGAAGAAATGTGTCCATTTTCGCCGACCGCCTGTGTACTGCTTTCAGCACATTCGTTTAGAAATTGCACACCGATGGGGGAATGAGTAATAGTGACAAGCAATATAAATTGGTGAGTTTTTATGCTCTCCAACCGAGCTTCTGGACTCATGTGCTCACAACACAGGATTGTGGGTTGAGGTATCTTTATCACAGTATCATTGTCAGTCTTAGAAACAAATCAAACAAGAAGAAAACATGTACACACATATAAGTATATATTGTAGAACTTGCTGCAGTGGAAGAAAGAGCACACACACACACACACATAAAAATAGAACCCAAGATGCATGAAGCAAGCCCTTGACAGGTTGCAGAGAAGGCTTGAATGAAACCTGGAATGTATGTGCAATTACCGCCTTTCCCTCCCTTATCTCCCTGCCTTTCTTGAAGGTATGCGCGAATCTCTTTTGAATAATCCAGCTCAAGCCGCTGCACCCACTGGAACTCCCCTGCACCCACTGGAACTCCCACTGCACCCACTGGAACTCCCACTGCACCCGCTGGAACTCCTCTGCACCCACTGGAACTCCCACTGCACCCACTGAAACTCCCCTGCACCCACTGGAACTCCCACAGCACACACTGGAACTCCCACTGCACACACTGGAACTCCCACTGCACCCACTGAAACTCCCCCTGCACCCACTGGAACTTCCCTGCACCCGCTGGAACCCCCCTGCACCCACTGGAACCCCCCTGCACCCACCACACTCCTGAGAGGCCTTTCTATCCATTCCTCTGCCTGCCTCCCTGTCCTAAATCGTATGTGCGAAGCAAAGCACGTTTGAGATTTAGGTAGCTCACGCTCCTGCAGTCACCACTGTAGACCCCACTGCCGCCATCCCAACAGCCCCCACCACTGCCTTTCTCTCCCTCACCACAAGCCTGAGTGGCTTTGCCAGAGCCATGGTCAACCCAAAAGTTTCTGTCATGTCCACTCCTCCAGCTGCCTTAACATCTTCGGGCAGCTCAAAATCAAACCGCAGAACAAAATTCGCCAGCAGGCGGGAAGAGAGGTCCAATCCCATTTTCGTCCCAAGGCACCCGCGCCTGCCCGAACCAAAGGGCAGCAGGCTGAAATTTTGCCCAGTCATGCCAGGGGCAGCAGCGTCAAGGAACCGGGAGGGGTCAAATTTGTGCGGGTTGATCCAGACCGTTGGATCGTGCGCGAGAGCCCAGCCGTTGATCTGGATCATGGTGTTGGGAGGGATGTGGTACCCACCTAGAGTTACGCTGCCAGTTGTTATGTGGGGACCGAGGAGCGGAGCAACCGGATGATGCCTAAGTGTTTCTTTTAAAACAGCCTGCAAATACGGCATTTCTGCTACCGGAAGAGAGACCAAGAGATCCGATCCTCCTCCTGAAGCTGCCCCAGTTTCGGCGGCTGCACTTGCTGACCTGGCATACGCCGCATCCACCTCAGCACGGAGCCTTTCCAGCATGTCAGGGTGCTGCGCCAGCTCAGCAAGCGACCACTCCACGGTCTTGGCGGTGGTATCAGTGCCCGCCATCATCATATCAATCGCGAGCAGCAGCATCTCGTCTTTATCCACTTTATCCTCCCCCTCCCCTTCAATCTCGAACAAAGCATCTACAAGGGCCGAGTCCTCCGGCTTTTCGCGTCCCCCTGACCGCGTTTTCAGCAGGAGCTGGCGTCGCTCCGCGATGCACGCGCGCATCAACCCGTGCTGCTGCGGCACGAGGCGCTTCGTGCGCGCGTATATGTGCTGCGGGTCGAGGTAGCTCAGCCACGGTACAAAATCCGCGATATTGAATGTCCCCGCAAGAGCAAAGCCCTCCTCTATTATCGCGAGCGCTATATTTCCTTCCGCTTCTTCCATTGAACACGATGAGTTCTTCTTAGCAGCATTAGTACTACTATCCGCCTTCTCTGTATGTGAGGATAGTAGCTTGGAGCTATCTTGTTCTGCCGCTGCCGAAGCCTCAGACCCCATGGCTGGAGATGCAGCCGCGTCGGCGACAGCGCCGCGTCGAATCTCACCGCCGCGTTTCTCGCCGCCCGTTGCGGCGATGCACGCGTTCCAGTCGATGCGCATCCCCGCGTCGAGAAGCGCCTTTGTCGTGGTGCTCTCCGCGCCGCGAATCGACTTATAACCGAAGCGCTTACCGACAGTCACGCGCATAATGTTGTTGAGCGTCGCGCGATTTAGATACCTTCGCACTTCTACTATGCTCCCCTCTTCTGCCACGGCCGCAGACTTCGCGGTTCCTCCCGTAGTAGTAGCACCCGTGTTAGTCACGTCCGAGGTACTAGTTGTTGCGTCAGCAGCAGCTTCGTCAGCAGTACTAGCCACGTCAGCGGCGAGCATGTCAGCAGCGATCGCATCGAGCATGTCGCGAACCTCCTCCTCTCGCACGAGAAGGCTCTCCTGCAATTTCTTCGCAGACAGAAGGTGGAGCGTCGACAGCCGTCGCAACTTTCGCCAACGTTCGTTAGGTGGCGAAAACACGATGTTTTTGCCGTGAAGTGAGAGAATCGCCAATGTTTGATTCATAGGCCGAGACGAGCAGAGCTTATCATTCGTTTTAAGCACCTCGCGAGCCAGCTCTGGCGACGAGATGACCACTGACGGCGTTGAACCATACCAGACGGTCAGGATCGGGCCGTACCTGTCCGCCAACTTCGTGAAGGAGCGGAAAGGCAGCAGTCCCAGGTCCGGGAGATTGCCGAAGATGGGCCATGGGGAAGGGCCGGGGGGCAAGGAGCGACGTCGGCGGAGGAAGGAGAGCCAGGAGGTGGAAACGAGAACCGCGACGGCAGCGACGACGGCTGTGAAGACGAAATGCGAGTCGGCTAGTACTATGCTTGAAGAGTCGAGGAGGCGTGAGGCAGAGCGGAAGACTTCGCTAGATGCCGTTAAATTTGGGGAAAGACGCTGGGCGGTGCTAATCCCGCTGGCAAACCAGCCTGTTCCAGGAAACGAATCACCAGCAGTCATGGTAGGTGATAAGAATCCCAGCTACGACCGTGCTGGAAACGCACGATGGGCGAAAGTGATGGAGGCAATCAGTACCTTCCAGCACAATCGAGCAAAGGTGAGATGGAAAGAGTTTTCGTGCAGGCAGGATAAATGTGCAGAATGTCCAGGCAGGATGAATCGAGGGCAGGCCGAACCGCGCAAAGGACAAATGTGTCGGGACTTGGGAGACCCCAGCGCACATTCATGCGGTTCGGTAGAGGAGTAGGCACACCGTTTTCAACGCGCCGCGTTTGGAGAACTGGAAATGCGTGGACCCCGAAGATTCAAAATTGGGTGATGCCAGATGGCAAACTCCAGCTGCTGCATCAGGTGACCGGTTTCGCACGCAATGGCAGTTTGATTCGCACGAATGGGTTTCCTGCTGAACAGGGAAAGCAACCCTGGCTAGGCGAAAAACGAGGACCATCGCTTTTCAAAATCGTGGTGAGCGAAAACTTTCGTGACCTCCACTTTCGACACCGCAGTCAATGATACAGCACGTGTGCTAACATGCCTAGACAATTCGCACCCAGAAAATTCGATTAGAAACCTATGTGACAAACAGAGTTGGAATATTTATTGGAAACAATAGAGAACATCCTGCACAATTATATTAAAATATATTAAAACAAACGCACACCCTATAGCATCTACTAACAAAGCATGCGAGCACAAGGACAGGCGGTACCCAAGAATAACTGAGCAAGCTGATTAATATCTGCACCCTCCACAACGACACCTGCCAACTCCTTTTCATATACTCTCTGCTCGACCTTGTCCAATGTTTTATCGTAATTGAGAAAAAACCTACTTCACCTGCTTCCATTCCGCTCCTGTAACATACGCCGTAGAGGCTTAGCAGCGCTAAAGTGATACCTGAGTCCTTTCCCAAATCAGTGTCAACTCCACCAGCGGCCAACACATCTTCGGGCAGCTTCAAATCAAACCGCAACACACTGCTTGCTACCATACACACTGAAGAGTCCAATTCTGAATTCTTACATGCACAGCACACACACTCCAGCCCGAACCGAAGGGCAGCGCATCAAAATTCTGCCCTGCAACATCACGGGGCAGATCGGCAAAAAAAACTGCTAGGATCAAACTCATGGGGGGTGATCCAGACCGTTGGAAAGTTGGATCAGGAGTTGCGGGTGTATCCGCCTAATACAACTCTGGCAGATTACAGGTGAGGGATGAGGAGCCGTACTGGGGGATGGAGCCTCGGAGTTTCCTCAATCACCGCTTGAAGATAAAGCAAATTCTGCACTGAGAGAGATGCCTTTCCAACCTACGCCTTCCTTCCCGGATTTTCCTGCTGCTTCTTCCGGCGCCGCTGCTTTTGTGGCTCCGCCTTTCCCAGCACAGACTGGGTTGAATCGAACAACGCTCGTAGCAGCACTGTTCTCACTGTAACCAGCAAAAGAACAAGCAATGCTGTTATGGTTACCAGCAGAAGCATGGAACACAGTAGCAGCAGCTGTATGGAAACAGAATACAGGGACAGAGACTGGGACAGGGAGAGGGACAGGGACAGAGGATTAGCAACAGCTGCAGCAGCAGGAGGCAGCAGCAGTAACAGAAGAAGGAGCAGGAAAAGGAGCAGCAGCAACCACAGGATCCGCTTTAGAACCCTCCTCCTCCTCCTCCTCCTCCTCCTCCTCCTCCTCCTCCTCCTCCTCCTCCTCCTCCTCCTCCTCCTCCTCCTCCTCCTCCTCCCCCTCCTCCTCCTCCCAATGACCACCATTCTTATTGGCTAAGCCAATTAGTAACTCCATGACTCAATAACCAGCTCAACCCAACATGTAGCAACCATTGCAGCACCCGTCATGAAGCAACCCTTTGCAGCTCATGCTGCTGAAGCAGAAACCACCGCCCTTGCCACTGCATTTCTCTCCCTCACCCCAATTCTCAGCGGTTTAGCCAGAGCCATGGTCAGCCCAAAATTTTCTGTCATGTCCAGCCCCCCAGCTGCCCTCACATCTTCGGGCAGCTTGAAATCAAACCGCCGAACGAAATTCGCCAGCAGGCGGGCAGACAGGTCCAATCCCAGGTTCGTCCCCAGGCACCCACGCCTGCCCGAACCGAAGGGCAGCAGGCTGAAATTCTGCCCGGTCACGTCAGGGGCTTCAGGAACAAGGAACCTGGAGGGATCAAATTTGTGCGGGTTGATCCAGACCGTTGGATTGTGGGAGAGAGCCCAGCCGTTGATTTGAATCATGGTGTTGGGCGGGATGTGGTAACCACCTACAGTTACGCTGCCAGTTGTCAGGTGGGGAACTAGGAACGGAGCCACAGGGTAATGCCTAAGTGTTTCTTTTATGACAGCCTGCAGATATGGCATTTCTGCAACCGGAAGGGAGACCGGACGATCAGAACCGCCTGCTGCAGCCACCCCAGTTTCCGCGGCTGCCCTTGCTGACCTGGCATAAGCTTCATCCACCTCAGCACGGAGCCTTTCCAGCATGTCAGGGTGCTGTGCCAGCTCAGCAAGCGCCCATTCCACGGTCTTGGCGGTTGTATCAGTCCCAGCCATCATCATATCAATCGCGAGCATCAGCATCTCGTCTTGATTCATCTGATCCCCCCCCTCCCCTTCAATCTCGAACAACGTATCGACAAGAGTGGTTTCTTCCTCCAAAGTCACGTTGCCTTCGTTTGCGGAATATTTCTTTTGCAGCAAGAGTTGGCGTCGCTCCGCGATGCACGCGCCCATGAGCCCGAACAGCTGCGGCGCGAGGCGCAGCGCGCGCGCGTACATGCGCAGCGGGTCCCAGTAGCTCAGCCACGGCACGTAATCCGCGAGATTGAATGCCCCCGCAAGTGCAAAACCCTCTTCGATTATTGCAAACGCCACCTCTCCTTCCGTCGCCTCCGTTGGAGATGATAAGTTAGTCTTAGCAGTACGACATTCCACTTCAGCCGCTGCCGAAGCGTCAGAACCGGTAGCTGGAGCTGCGGCCGCGTCAGCAGCGGCGTCACGTCGAATCTCGCCGCCGCATTTCTCGCCGCAATGAGCGGCGATGCGCGCGTTCCAATCGATGCGCATCGCGGCGTCGAGAAGCGCCTTCGGCGTGGCGCTCGCCGCGCCGCGAATCGACGAATAGCCGAAGCGCTTCCCGACGGTCATGCGCATAATATTGTTGAGCGTCGCGCGACTTAAATACCTTCGCACTTCTATGATCCCCTCTTCCGCCACGGCGGCAGATTTTGCGGTTCCTCCAGTAGTAGCAGCAACCGTTTTAGTCACATCCGAAGGATTAGTTATTGCGTCAGCAGCGATCGCATCGAGCATGTCACGAACCTCCTCCTCTCGCACGAGAAGGCTCTCCTGCAGTTTCTTCGCAGACAGAAGGTGAAGCGTCGCCAGCCGTCGCAACTTTCGCCAACGGTCGTTGGGCTGCGAAAACACTATATTTTTCCCGCCGAGAGAGAAAATCTCCAATGTGCGAATCATTGGGCGGGACGAGCAGAGCTTGTCATTCGTTTTAAGCACCTCAAGGGCCAGCTCCGGCGACGAAATCACCACTGACGGCGAGGAACCGAACCAAACGGTCAGGATCGGACCGTACTCGTCGGCCAGCTTCGCTAGGGAGCGGAATGGAAGCGTTCCTAGGTCCGGGAGGTTACCGAGGATAGGCCACGGGTAAGGGCCGGGGGGGAGGGAGCGACGGCGGCGGAGGAAGGAGAGCCAGGAAGTGGAAACGAGAACCGCGACTGCTGCGATAAAGGCTGCGACGAGGCCTGACGCTGCGCGGAAGTCTCCGCCTGATGCCGTCGCGTTGGGGAAAAGGTGCTGGGCGGTGTTGATCCCGCTGGCGAACCAGCCCGTCCCAGGAAACGAATTCCCAGCAGCCATGGTGACTGAGGATTTCTGGCAACAAGCGTTCTGAAAACGCAGAAAGGGCAAAAGCTGGAGACTATCAGCAGAACCTCCCCAGTACGTGCGGAGATGGGGAGGGAATGCTGAGCAGGTTTGTGCATGCGGAATAACTGCAGTGTTATGAACTCCGTTTCTGCTCAAAACCCTACTCAAACGTAGAGAATTAAAAACAAGCCGCTCTAACACATACAGAAACGCACTTCACCGCAATAATGCGAGCTCGCTCAAGACTGTGCGAAGACAGATTCGCTGGGACTCATGCGCGCACATTTTATGCGGTTTCCTGAAGTGTTTTGATTTGCTAGCGCGGCTGCCTGCAGGTTCAAGACTGGGCGATACACTGGACCGTTTTCGCACGCAATGAAGAGGCGACCGGTTTCGCACGCAAGGCCGTTTCATTCGCAAGCAAGCCTGGCTTGGCGACAAAACGAACGCGATCGTTACAGGTGAGCGAAAACTTGCGGAAGCTCTTGGGTGTGTCGTGAAGTGATGTGTCCGTTTTTGCCGACCTCAAGTGCCGTACACTATCTGCAGCCCATATACACTGCAGCTGCACGTGTGCTTCAACATCACATTCAGCAGCGAGAAAATGAAGGATTATACCGGTACAATGAAAACCGCAAAGAGCATCCAGCACAATAGAAGTAAATTAAATTAACAGAAATGCTCACCCAAGAGCATCTGGTAAGAAACACATGCACACAAGGACAGACAGCACTCAAGTTGTGCTGAGCACACTTATTACTGTCTGCATCCTGTAGAACGACACCTGCCAACTCCTTTTCAAACGTTACAAGCCTTATCCAATGTCTTCACTGAAGATGGGCCTACTTCAACTGCGTCCCCTTCCGCTCCCGCAACACAAGCCGTAGAGGCTTAGCCAGTGCCAAAGTGAGACTAAAATCCTCTCCCAAGTCAACTCCACCAGCGGCCAACACATCTTCGGGCAGCTTCAAATCAAATCGTGAAAGGTCCAGCCCCAAGTTCATACCTGCACACACCCGCCTGCCCGAACCGAACGGCAGCACACCATAATCCTGCCCGGTCACATCAGGGGCCGATGGGCCGAGAAACCTGCTGGGATCAAAATTATGGGGGTCGATCCAGACAGTTGGATCGTGAGCGAGACCCCAGGCGTTGATCTGAATGATTGTGTCGGGAGGGATGGTGTATCCGCCAATAGAAACACTGGCAGTTGTCATGTGAGGGATGAGGAGCGGTACTGGGGGGTGGTGCCTCAGAGTTTCCTTAATCACTGCTTGGAGGTAAGGCATCTCCTGTACCGGGAGAGATGATTTAGCATTGTGCTGTTTTACATTACATTCTCCTGCTGCTTCTTCCTCCGCTGATACTTCTGTGGCTGATCCAGCTGCTGACTTGGAGTATGCGGCATCCACCTCAGCTTGGAGCCGTTCCAGCATGGCAGGGTGACTTGCCAGCTCAGCAAGGGCCCACTCAACAGTCTTGGCAGTGGTGTCGGTGCCAGCATTGATCAAATCCAAACAGAGCAGCATAATCTCCTCCCTGGTTACCCTATCCTTTCCCGTTACCTCTTCCTCCCCTTGGCTCTCGATTTCCAGCAATGCATCTACCAAAACTCGTTCCGCCACTGACTCTTCTCCTCCCAGCTTCACATCACCTCCCTCTCCTTTCCCTCCTTCCCCATCATTCTTGTGCCACCTTTCTAGTCCCACATCCCTTTCGCCCTTGTTCCGTTCTTCCACTCCCCGTTCCCCCGCTCTCCCCCTCCGCGTTTCCAGCATCCGCTTTCTCTCCGCAATGCACGCCAGAACATATCCTTCGAAGTGCGGATTGAGCCGCTTCGCGCGAGCGTAGATGCGCTGCGGATCTAGAGGGCTGAGCCAAGGAATAAAATCCGCCAGATTGAATGTTCCCATCACCTGAAACGTCTCATCCACCATCGCAATCACCTTCTCGCCTTCCATTTCGTCCTCCGCAATAGACGCCAACTCGCCGGATTTCGCGCCGTTGATAGCGGCGATGCGACCCTGCCAGTCGGTTTTAATCGCCGCTCCGAGCATTTCCCCTGGTGCGGCGGCATAATCACAGATGGAATGGACCCGATCCACACGGTCAGGACCAGACCAAACCTGTCCGCGAGCTTCGCGAGGGAGCGGTACGGCAGGAAGCCCAGGTCTGGAAGGTTGCCTAGGATCGGCCATGGGGAAGGGCCTGGAGGTAAGGAGTATCGACGGCGGAGGAAGGAAAGCCAAGATGCCGAGGCGAACAACGCGACGGCTGCGACTATCACCGCGAAAATTGGCGGCAATGGAAACGAGTTGGTACTAATCACCCATGCGTCAGATGCGGCCGCAGCAGACATAGTGACCATACTTCCTACTGGTTTTGCTCGCAGACTGCCTCACCGCTTCCCTTGCCGCTATGCACTGTGAACCTCGCTAAGGGCAGTCCCCATTTCGACAATGCTGCATTACTGAATGGCCTATCTATTCACCACTCTAAACCGTAAATCAGCAGCCTGGCATTTCATGTATACACATGAAACATTCACCGACATCGGGAGCCGCCCTAACGGATACAACCAGTGAGTTTAGGGGGTCACGGCTCACGACTCATAACGAAACACGAGGGCTTCGCGGGACACGTTCCCTTTAGCAGCATTTGCTGCTTCGCGTGGCGCGGCCCGTCGTCGCAAAATTCCAAGATTCATAACGATGCCGAAGAGCAACTCGTAGCGGCGAGGTGACTGGTTTCGCACGCATGGGCAGTTCCGTTCGCAGCAATCGGTTCCCTACTTCACAGGCCACAACAAAGTGGGGCTAGGCGACAGAACGAAGGCCGTTGTTACGGGCTTTTGTTTTTTTCCCTCATCTCCCTCCCTCCCTCCCTCTCGAAACTCAACTGGCTGAGATGAGACTCAAGCTCAGCACTGCCAGTTCGAGTTCGTGCTGATTCAAGCTTTGCCTCTCCAGTATATGGATTCTAGTCAAGACGGCTCCAGCCACAGCAGCTGCTGCTCAGCACTTTATGAGGCAGTTTGGCTCCTCAGCAGCATAGAGTATTCAACTTCCCGAGCAGCTTTTCCCCAGTTGAACCGCTTAAAGCCTTCTCCCCACAGCGTCAAGCCTCATGGAGTCTTTTCGATTAATTGCCGATTCGCATTTTATCATCCCCGCCATTGTCGCCGCCGTCGCGGTTCTCATTTCCACTTCCTGGCTCTCCTTCCTCCGCCGCCGTCGCTCCCTCCCGCCCGGCCCTTCCCCATGGCCCATCCTCGGCAACCTCCCGGACCTAGGACCACTGCCTTTCCGCTCCCTCGCAAAGCTGTCTGACAGGTACGGACCGATCCTGACCGTCTGGTTCGGTTCCACGCCCTCAGTGGTTATCTCGTCGCCGGATCTCGCTCGAGAGGTGCTTAAAACGAATGATAAGCTCTGCTCGTCTCGCCCGATGACTCGCACATTGGCTATTCTCACTCTCGACGGCAAAAACATCGCGTTTTCGCAGCCCAACGACCGTTGGCGAAAGTTGCGACGGCTGGCGACGCTCCACCTTCTCTCTGCAAAAAAACTGCGGGAGAGCCTTCCTGTGCGAGAGGGGGAGATTCGCGACATGCTTGATGCGATAGCAGCTGATGTGACTAAAGCGGGGGAAGCGGCAGGCGTTGCGAAATCTGCCGCCGCGGGCGAGGGAATACAGCTGCGAAAGTATCTAAATCGGGTTACCCTCAACAACATCATGCGCTTGACTGTCGGAAAGCGTTTCAGCTATTCCTCGATTCGCGGCGCGGCCGGCGTCGCGCCAAAGGCGATGCTCGAAGCTGCGATGAAGATTGACTGGAACGAACGCATCGCCGCAAGGAGCGGCGAGAGGGGTTCGCCGCAAAGCAGTGCTTTAGCGGCGGAAGGTAACTCTCCCTCCTCCTCTTCCAAGTTATCCTCTCTGACAGAAGAGGAGGAGGGAGAGCTGGCGTTTGCGATAATCGAAGAGACTTTTGCTCTTGTCGGAGCATTCAATCTCGCGGATCACGTGCCGTGGTTGAGCTACTGGGACCCGCAGCGCATATACGCGCGTATGCAACGACTGACGCCGCTGCTGCATGGATTTCTGCATATACGCGCGCATGCATCGAGGAGAGACGACAGCTGCTGAAAAAAAACAAGAATCAAATTCCCATTCGCGACGCGCCGAGTCCGAGCCAGACGGTAGCTGCGGACGGTACTAGCGGCGAATCTGGGGATTTAAGCGCTTTACGTAATGGGGATGGGGCGCATAAGGAGGGGGTGGAGCGGAGCGCACCTGAAGCTGCGCTTGTTGATGCGTTGTTCCAGATCGAAGGGGAGGGAGAAGATGAGATGGATAAAGACGAGACGCTGATGCTCGCGTTTGAATTGATGATGGCGGGGACTGATACTACCACGGTGACGCTGGAATGGGCGCTTGCTGAGCTGGCGCAGCACCCCGACATGCTGGAAAAGGTCCGTGCTGAGGTGGATGCAGCGTATGCCAAGTCAGCAAGTGGAGCCTCCGAAACTGGGGCGGCTGAAGCAGGAGGAACGGATTTCATGGTATCTCTTCCGGTAGCAGAAATGCCCTACCTGCAGGCTCTTTTAAAAGAAACACTTAGGCATCACACAACGGCCCCCATCCTCATTCCCCATATGACAAGTAATAGCGGAACACTGGGTGGTTACCACATCCCTCCCAACACCATGATCCAGATCAACGCCTGGGCCCTCGCGCACGATCCAACAGTCTGGATCAACCCGCACGAATTTGACCCCTCCAGATTCCTTGGCCCTGACGCCCCTGACCTGACCGGGCAAAATTTCAGCCTGCTGACCTTTGGCTCGAGCAGACGTGGATGCCTTGGGCTAAACCTGGCAATGGACCTTTCTGCCCGCCTGCTGGCGAATTTTGTTCGGCGGTTTCAGATTGAACTGCCCGAAGATGTACGGGCAGCTGGAGGAGTGGACTTAACAGAACATTTTGCGCTGACCACAGTGCTGGCGAAGCCGCTCAGAGTGGTGTTGAGAGAGAGAAAGGGTGTGGCAGGGGCAGCGGTGGCTGTTGCTGGTTCTTGAGGTGCAAGGGGTGCTGTAGTGAGGGCTTGATCTGGTTACCAAGCTGCCAACCATGTGTTTTGCACACAAAAGAGGGAGGTATTTTATCTTCTGAAGGTCTCATCAGCCTTTTCCGCGCCATCGGTTGCTACTGAGGAGTGCAATGAGAGTGGCACAAGGGCTGGAGGGAGGGAGGCAGGGAGGGGAGGTGGAGGAAAAGGAGGGGTGCAGCGGGCAATGCTACGGTAACTTGGGCACAAGGGATGGTGGTGGTGAAGAATTGCAATGGTCTGCGGAAGCAGGCCTGCATGGTTGCTTTTGCCCCCTTAGTGCACTCCTCGCTTGCTTGCTTCATCAATTGCACGCGTAACACACGCGAAGTCTTACCCAGGAGGAGCATCTAGTGGTGATCTCATGCAAGCACAAGGAAAGGTGGTGTGGGGCACCCCACTTCCTGGGTTCACCCAGCACCCCCTCCCCATAAAAAGTGAGCAGTGAACAAACAGATTACTATCAGCACCCTACACAAGACCTCCCAACTTCTTCGCACACTCTGTGGTGCCTTTCCATTGCCTTAACAGAGCAAGAAGCGTCTTACGATTGCGACTGCTTTCTCTCCTTCAAAACAAGCCTTAGCGGCTTCGCCAGTCCCGTGGTAAGGCTGAAGACCTCTCCCAAGTCAACTCCACCAGCAGCCAGCACATCGTCGGGCAGCTTCAGATCAAACCGCAGAAGAATGCTTGCTAGCATACGTGCAGCAAGATCAAGCCCCAGATTCATGCCAGCACACACACGCCTGCCCGAACCAAAGGGCAGCACTCCATAATTCTGCCCGGTAACATCAGGGGCAGACGGGCCGAGAAATCTGCTGGGGTCAAACTCATGGGGGTTGATCCAGGCCGTTGGATCGTGAGCGATACCCCAGGCGTTGATCTGAATCATTGTGTTCGCAGGGATGGTGTATCCGCCTATAGCAACCCTGGCAGTCGTCATGTGAGGGATGAGGAGCGGCGTTGGTGGGTGGTGCCTCAGAGTTTCCTTAATGACTGCTTGAAGATAAGGCATCTCTTGTACCGGGAGAGACGCTGGGAGAGACGCTGGGAGAGACGCTGGAAGATGATGCTTTTCAACCCCCTGCTCCCCAATGATTTTCCCTCCTGCTTCCCCTGCCGCTGCTGCTTCTGTGACTGCTCCAGCTGCTGCTGACTTGGCATATGCGGCATCCACCTCAGCTTGTAGCCGTTCCAGCATGGCAGGGTGACTTGCCAGCTCAGCAAGGGCCCACTCAACAGTCTTGGCAGTGGTGTCCGTGCCAGCATTGATCAAATCCAGACAAAGCAGCATAATATCCTCTCTCGTTACCCTCTCCTTCCCCATTACCCTATCCTCCCCTTGACCCTCCAACTCCAGCAATGAATCTACTAGCACTCGTTCCGCCCCTGTCTCATCCGCCCCCAGTTTCACACCTCCTTCCTCTCCTTTTCCACCTTCCGCCCCTGACTCACCTTTCCCCAGCTTATTTTCTCCCAACTTCACCTCACCTCCCTCCCCTCCCTCTCCTCCCTCTCCTTCCGTTCCTCCCTCCCCTTCGAGGATTCCATCTACCAACGGCCTCTCCCTCACTACCTTCTTTCTCCCTCCCTCCTCCTCTTCCCCCCTTCTCCTTTTCAGCATCTGGCTTCTCTCCTCAATGCACGCCAGCACAAACCCTTCTGTACACGGTTTTAACCGCTTCCCGCGCGCGTAGATCCGCTGGGGATCCACAGGACTGAGCCACGGAATGAAATCGGCCAGGTTGAACGTCCCCATCACCTTAAACGTCTCGTCGACTATCGCAATCACCTTCTCGCCTTCCATTTCGTCCGCCGCGGATTGCGCGGCAGGCTCGCCGGATTTCGCGCCGCTGGTTTTCATCGCCGCGATTCGTCCCTGCCAGTCGATTCTCATTGCCGCTTCGAGCATTTCTCCTGGAGCGGCGGCGGCAGCGCGACGGACGGTGCGGTAGGTGTAACTCTTTCCAAAGGCCAGTCGCATAACGTTGTTAAGCGTCGCGCGGTTCAAATACCCTCGCACTTCCACGCCTCTCGCATCCCCGTTATTAGCCACTTCCGCTATCGCGTCAAGCATGCCGCGAATCTCTCGCTCGCGAACGGGTAGGCTCTTCTGTAAGGCGCTCGACGAAAAGAGATGCAGCGTCGCCAGCCGTCGCTGCATTCGCCAATGGTCGTTGGACGGCGAAAAAACAATGTCGTTCCCGCCGCTCGTTAGGAATGCGAGAAAGGGTAAGAGCGGGCGGGAGGAGAAGAACTTATCCTGAATCTTAAGCACCTCGCGAGCCATCTCCGGGGAGGATATAATCACAGACGGAATCGACCCGAGCCACACGGTCATGGTCGGACCGAACCTGTCCGCGAGCTTCGCGAGGCCGCGGTACGGCAGGAAGCCCAGGTCCGGGAGGTTGCCGAGGATGGGCCATGGGGACGGGCCTGGAGGTAAGGAGGAGCGACGGCGAAGGAAGGCGAGCCATGTTGCCGAGATGTATAACGCGACGGCCGCGATTATCGCCGCGAAAAGCGACGGCATTTGAGATAATCACTGATAGCTACCCATGCTTCCGGCGCGACAACGGATTGATTATCCATGAAACCTGCTGCCGACTTTCCACGCAGTCTGCCCCAATGCCTCACTAGCCGCTGTGCTTTCGAAGCTCGACTGTGTTCGCTGGTTCAGCTGCGTTAGCTAATTTGTCAGCCATGAATTGACCAAACGGTGTGTCGTATTTGAGCAGAAGCGGACAGCGCAGGAGCTTGAACATGGAAGGATGGACAGTGTCACTGCTGGTTCTTTTGATTAAAAAGAAAGCATACAGTACACAGAATGAGTGTTGAAGTAGCGAATACGTTCTGTATCGGGGTAAGCGGGGCGTTATCCAGGTGGTGTTGCGTGGATAACGCTTGAATTTGAGTCAGGAATTTGGTGGCCCTCGTCGGCTCCGACCGCGGAGCTCTCCACGTTCCAGGGTCTGCGAATCACGATGACGTCACGTGTTTGAACCTGGCCTTGTAAACTGCCTGCGGTCTGGCCTGGTCGCCATGAGCAGCTGTTGGTTGAGTTGCGTTGGACTTGGGGTTACGAAGCTATCGACGTGGTACACCCGTTTTCGCAAACTTCGCGTGTGGATCGAATGGACGGAAGGAGATGACCACCTCGAATCCACCAACCGTCAACTCCCAATCGGAGGGCGGAGATTGACCCTCAAACGGGGGTGGCTGACTGCCTGCTGACTGCCTATCGTCGCCAGACCGATGTGTCGCCGCGTCAGTGCTCCCCCACCACATCCTGCTCGGCCACTCAACGAGGGTTTCGGTGGATAACCTTCTCCCGGCTGACGTGTTTTGCTCTTTCAGACAGACTCACACAATTCAGGCCCTCAGCTCCAGGAAATCCTAGCAGAGTCAAGAAGACAGCAGAGCCCAAGAAAATGGCTTCCAGCACGGTAGAGAACCTAAGTGACCAGGTTAGGACGGATGGACGAGAAGATAGGAGCACGTTGCGGAAATTGGAGTCCGCAAGTCAAGACACCGCTTGTTTGACGAATCGTTCCACTGATGACGCAGGGAATTGCACGCTTCGCCTTGCGTCAATTGGAGATGGAGATAGTAAGGATTATGGTCAGCAGAAATCCGAGGGTACGGTTAGGTCAAGCGTGAATCAGACGCACCAGTCGGAGAAACGGCAGCGTGAAGAGTCTTACGAGCGCCTTGAACCAGACAATCAGGAGCCAGCTGGCGGAGTTCACGATAATCATGGAACTGGGGTATCAAATCCGGCTTCTGATGAAGACCCTGGTGTTGTCGATGAGAAAAGGCAGAAGCGGATGTTAAGCAACCGTGAATCAGCGAGACGATCGAGATTAAGAAAGCAACACCATCTTGACGAGATGAAGCAGCAGGTGGGTTCAGATGCGGCTTTTGTAACGTGCTTCCGCTTCCTTGAGCCACAATTTTAATCAATCGTTTCAATTTTGATGCGGGGATGTTTCCAGGTTGCACAATTACGAGCGGAGAACACGGACATGGTGACGAAGTACAATTTGGCTTCACGACACTACGCTCAAATCACGGACGAGAATCGCGTCCTTAGATCGCACGCCATGGAGCTCAGTCGTCGGTTACAGCGATTACACCACGCGGCAAGTGCTCAGGGTCACACCATGGGCCATGATTTCATGGGTATGACCCACATGGATCCATCACTACAGCTTGGTATGGGAGGGATACCTTCCGGCGGTGGCATGCCACATGGTCAGCATCCTGCCATGGCCCACATGTCCCAGATGCAACATCACGTTGCTGGATCTCATCCTTCCGCTTTTCATTACCAGTTTCCTGGCTCCATGACACCGGAACTTACCCGATGAAGGGGCCGTAAGCCTCCCTTGTTAATACTAACAAATTACCTTACGTGCATTCATTTTTGTTCAGTTGTGTGTGTGATTTTAGCTTTTACTTGTGCCTCGTGTGTGTGTGAGAAAATGGTGTTGTATATCTTTTGTTATGAGTGCTGGTTTTGCTCACTGACGGGGTCTCAGATTTTATAATTGTGTGGTACAGCTTACCGGTATCAATTGTTTCACCTCACCGGCTACCTTCCTGTCCTGCATAAAAAATCCAATTCAAATCACACACAGTAGCTTGGTTCACCACCAATGGCACACCAAGGCAAGGGACAGCAAGAAGTTGTTTGCCTGCTGGTGTTCTGACAGTGGAAGTGCACTGTGGTATCAACTCAAAGCAATCCCATCCTATACCAGTGCGGTTACGTATATACCATATAATATCTGGTATGCGCGATGTACAATTCACCTCAAAACACCAGCCATATAAGAGTACACTATATCGGACCATGAATCCGGTACACCCGGCACGCACCAATGCGAGCAGTCAGGGCGGTCGTTGCCTGTGAACTGGCCCTGATGGGCGTCTGGGCGGGCAAGTGAGGACCTTGCAATGTCCACTATCTTGAATTGTGGATAGGAGCTGAATGCCTGGAGAGAACAGCAGCGAAGGGATAGGGCAGAGAAATAGGGTTGCGGGAGTGTAGGTGGAGGGTTAGGGAGATTTGAGAGAGCGAAGGGTGAGATTGACGGGAGTGATGGGCGTCAGTGTCTTGGTGTTCCTCTCCGGCCACAGCATCCGCGTCCCGACCATCACCTCCCCCCCTCATTTTCACGCAGGAAAAGAAGAGGGTATGTGCTTGCACCCAGCCCAAACGCACCTTCACTTGAGCATCTCTCGCTTGCAGTGTCTTGGTGTTCTTCCCCGCCCACAGCATCCTCGTCCCATTCATCACAACATCATTCTTCCTCTCCCCCCCCTCCCCACCCCCCAATTCAACACCCAGCCCAGACGCACCTTTACTTGGGCGTCTCTCGCTTGCAGTGTCTCCGTATTCCTCTCTGCCCACAGCATCCTCGTGCCATTCATCACCCTCCCCTTCACACATTCATGCAGGAAATGAGGGGGTTTGTCTCACACCCACCCAGCCCAGACGCACCTTTACTTGGGCGTCTCTCGCTTGCAGTGTCTCCGTATTCCTCTCTGCCCACAGCATCCTCGAGCCGTTCATCACCCTCCCCTTCACACATTCATGCAGGAAATGAGGGGGTTTGTCTCACACCCACCCAGCCCTGACGCACCTTTACTTGGGCGTCTCTCGCTTGCAGTGTCTCCGTATTCCTCTCTGCCCACAGCATCCTCGTGCCGTTCATCACCCTCCCCTTCACACATTCATGCAGGAAATGAGGGGGTTTGTCTCACACCCACCCAGCCCAGACGCACCTTTACTTGGGCGTCTCTCGCTTGCAGTGTCTCCGTATTCCTCTCTGCCCACAGCATCCTCGTGCCGTTCATCACCCTCCCCTTCACACATTCATGCAGGAAATGAGGGGGTTTGTCTCACACCCACCCAGCCCAGACGCACCTTTACTTGGGCGTCTCTCGCTTGCAGTGTCTCCGTATTCCTCTCTGCCCACAGCATCCTCGTGCCGTTCATCACCCTCCCCTTCACACATTCATGCAGGAAATGAGGGGGTTTGTCTCACACCCACCCAGCCCAGACGCACCTTTACTTGGGCGTCTCTCGCTTGCAGTGTCTCCGTATTCCTCTCTGCCCACAGCATCCTCGTCCCATTCATCACAACATCATTCTTCCTCTCCCCCCCCTCCCCACCCCCCAATTCAGCACCCAGCTCAAACGCACCTTCACTTGTGCGTCTCTCGCTTGCAGTGTCTCCGTATTCCTCTCTGCCCACAGCATCCTCGTGCCGTTCATCACCTGCCCCCGCATGTCCATGCAGCTCTTGGCTGCATCCCCGCTAGAGAACGCGTTGTTATAGTGATAAGCCGAGAAGGTCATCACCATGGGGAGCCCTGAGTACCGGCTGTTAACTAAGAACTTTCGGATGGTTAAGTGTGCGTCGTAGAGGGGAGCGTAGGGGCGTGGGAACGGGGGGAGTTGCTTGTTCTTGCGGTAATAGACGCGGAGATTCGAAGGTGCCTGGCAAAGGGAGGGAAAAGGCGGGGGTTGTGGGAGTGAACCGAAGCTGAAATGTATTACAAGCCATGGACCAGTACCAAATCCACATAACACTCTTACACTACATATATGTCCATGTGCAACAAATCGTATACACTTTAGTCCACTGATGATAACGTGGTGGCATACCCCGTATTAACATACCCACTCACGTTTATAAACCAGTGACCAGCGCTGAAGATAACGTAGTGGGTGTGGGGCAGCAGCTTGAACCAGCTCGGGTCAGGCCTATCCAGATGCACCCTCCACGCACCTGCACTGGACGCCACGCCCTGGGGGAGGGGAGTTGACCAAGAAAGAGTGAGGGAACGCAATAAGACACGGGAACAAGGCAGGTGGGTGCAGCTCGGATCAGGCCAGTCCAGATGCACCCCCCACGCGCCTGCACTGGAAGCCACGCCCTGAGGGAGGGGAATTGACCAAGAAAGAGTGAGGGAACGCAGCAGGCACGGGAACAAGGCAGGTAGTTGCAACTCAGGTCAGTCCAGATGCACCCTCCACGCTCCTGCACTGGACGCCACGCCCTGAAAGATGGGAGGTGACCGAGAAAGGGGGGAAAGGCGAAAGTGAAGGGGGGAGGGGATGTGACAGGGAAGGGGGGGGAAGGCGAAAGAGAAGTGGGGAGGGGATATGACAGGGAAGGGGGGGAGGGAATCCGGAAGATGATGTGGGAGGGACCTCAATAAGGCATCGGATCAAGGCATGGTGGGCGGATCAGGCCTGCGCAAAGCACCCTCCACGCGGCTGCACTGGGCTACAATCACTTAGATTACTTACCACAGGTAAGAGCCTCAGCTTAAAGCACTAAGAAGCACTCACCACAGGGCTGGACCGGACTAGGAAGTTGGAGGGCATGCGAAGGAAGGAGATGTTGAACTGGGGGATGATGAAGCCGCGGGATCGAACCCCCGTGCGGCCAAACTGGCCCCTAAAGTCCTGAAGGAAGATGATGGTGATGGCAGGGGAATAAGGGAAGTTGGAGGGCATGCGGAGGAAAGAGATGGAGATGTTGAACTGGGGGATGATGAAGCCGCGCGTTCAAACCCCCGTGCGGCCAAACTGGCCCCTGAAGTCCTGAAATACGACTAAGGGAAAGAGAAAGATGGAAACAAAGGGAAGTGCTGGGTGGATTTCGGGGTAGGGGGGGTGTGAGAAGGATGAGAAGGTCCGGGTTCGATTCCCTGTGTTAACAAAGTTGCGTTCCCAAGTTGTGGCGCAAGATAGGATGTAAAAACCGCCAGTTCCAAGTCTATGAGGTTGGGAGTGGATCAACTGGTACCAAGAGGAATCGTGAGTCGACTCAAGAGTGACTTCTGAATTGACTCAGAAAGTTACCTGGTTTTGATTCGACTCAAAAGAGACCACACCTCCAAGTCTATGAGTTTGGGAGAGGATCAACTGGTGTCATTGGGGGACAAGAGGAAGCCGGAGCGATCTTGCAGTGGAGAAGAAGTCTCGTCTCTAGTTGGCAGCGGATTCAGAAAAGGAGATACATAAACCTGCGGAGGAAGGAGAAGGTCGGGGGGCTTGGGTTGGGTGGCGTGGCAAACAGGCGTAGTAAGCGAGTTGTGAGCACTCTCAGAACGTACCTTAGTAACCTCTACGTACCTTAGTAACCGCTTTCGTCTCTAGCAGGCAGCGCATGGAGATTTCGAGGTTGTTGACGAATGAGTCGCCGACGAACATGAACACCTTATTGCGCAGAATTGAGAGCGTTCTAGCGGGGTTGAATCTGAAAAGACGTTGCAGGGGAGGAGGAAGAGGGGAAGCAGGACAGAAACGACGGGAGCTGGTGGGAGCGAGGTAAACAATTCAGATAACCGGGACTCCTGTTGCCATTTGCGCTGACAAGAGTACTACTTGCCGGCAGCAACACAGTATCCTTTCAATATATAGCCCCTTGACAATTGTCACCTTCTCATATCGCATCCAGGACTCCTCCACACGTATTTCAGGTACCCAATGTCCTTCCTCCCGTTGCGCTGGCAACTGAACGTATACACACAAATGCTCTTGCACGTATACCCGCTATAAGGAGCACAGTGGAACCCTTGACGACTCTCACCTTCTTATATCGCAGCCAGGGCTCCTCCACACGTATTTCAGGTACCCAGTGTCGTTTCGCCCGTTGCGCTGACAGTTGTAATATGACCTGATGCTCTTGCACGTGTACCCGTTATAAGCGGGTGCGTACATTCTGTCGTACACCCAGCTGCGGAGGTTAGCAGGAGAACGGGAAGGGAGGTGCGAAGGTGAGTGCCAGGTGAAGGGAAAGGAACGAGGAAACGAATGTAGGGAGGGGACGAGAGGAAGGGGGATCGGGCAGGACACGGAGCGCTGGAGGGATGGAGGGAGCGTGTGTGTGCGTGCGTGCGCGTGCGTGCGCGTGCGTGCGTGCGTGCGTGCGTGCGTGCGTGTGCGTGCGTGCGTGCGCGTGCGTGCGTGCGTGTGTGTGTGCGTGCGTGCGTGTGTGTGTGTGCATGATTCATATTATAAAATGGCATTCATGAGGATGAGTGCGTAGTGAGGCTGACCTTCCTTGGTCGACTCTACATTGCTGACACGTGGCAGGAACGGATTGGCCGAGAAGGAGCAGCAGTGACAGCAATAACCCGCTGGAGAGCGCAACCGGCGATATCGAAATAGCGGTAATAAGCGTCCCCGTTTCGTGGCGTCTGTGATTTCGTGCCATGGCTTCCTCCGTATTCGGAATAACCACAATGGAAGGCAGCGTCCTCCGCTTCTGCTTCTGCAAATAAGATTGCTGTATTCTGACGCGACAACCGAGCTCCTTCAGATTGCTTAGTAGCGAATCCGGACCTGAAAGTGCCGGAAGCACTACTTCAGCTGGTCGCGTGGAACGTTGAATCAGCAGCTATTTACGTTTGATTGCCAGGTTAGCAATCTATCGACACTTCTTTCTGGATGGTGTTTAAATTCGGCTCGGTAGTCACCTACGGATTCGGTTGACAGCGTTCCGATGGTGCTGTCGCTACGCGCTTTCCGATGCTTTTGCTTTTGCTGAGCTCGGCGGTGCTCTTGCTAAAACGAATGTCAAGAAAGAATAGGAAGTGCCTGTAGTGGGTAACATCTTTAGGCTGACGAATGTTGTCAGTACCCCTTCTTAGGACCTTCCATGTCGCCTAATATTATCAAAAGGAAGCCATAGGACAAATTAGTGCGCACCCTGGTGATAACGCATTCTGGCAAATTCTTCAGGAACCATGAACAATGTCGGTGCTGAGGTTGTGTAAATTCTGGTTTTGAGCTTTGCTTGAACCCGTGAGCCCTTTTCGCGGGCCTTTCAACGGTCAGTTTCGCGACGCGGGTCCCCAAATTGTCCAGCATCTGAGATGGGGCGTCTCGGCGAAGTTTAACGCTATCGCGAAAACTCGGAAGCTGTCTGTCCCCAAACGCGGGTCCCCAAACAACGGGCGAGTACCGGAAAATCAAAACCCTCCTCAATACCCCACCCAACCATTCTAAGTCAGGGTAAACCGCTTTCGAACGCAAACCACCTTATTGTGTCGCTCAGAAACGAAACGAAGGCCAACAACTCATGTGTTACCACCAGTGAGGTGGTCCGCCGACATTCTGGAAGGGAAATGGGCACGGCGAGGACGTAGGGATTGCTTCGAGAATACACGAGCTACAACGTGTACGGCTTTGCCTCGGGCTATACACTGTCCTTCGAAGGTAGGACCATACAAAATGTCGGAATCTAAATTTGAAGTGTACAGGAAAAGCAGCACAAAACAGAACATTGGATGCAATGTACGGGAAAAGCTGTCTGTCCCCCAACGCGGGTCCCCAAACAACGGGCGAGTACCGGAAAATCAAAACCCTCCTCAATACCCCACCCAACCATTCTAAGTCAGGGTAAACCGCTTTCGAACGCAAACCACCTTATTGTGTCGCTCAGAAACGAAACGAAGGCCAACAACTCATGTGTTACCACCAGTGAGGTGGTCCGCCGACATTCTGGAAGGGAAATGGGCACGGCGAGGACGTAGGGATTGCTTCGAGAATACACGAGCTACAACGTGTACGGCTTTGCCTCGGGCTATACACTGTCCTTCGAAGGTAGGACCATACAAAATGTCGGAATCTAAATTTGAAGTGTACAGGAAAAGCAGCACAAAACAGAACATTGGATGCAATGTACAGGAAAAGCAGCACACCATCGTGTTCGCTTATTTTTTAGACGCATGCTACTCTTCTTTAAACTCCTCAGCGTCCCACTTCAGGTTCCAAGAAGCAGACTTCACCATCTGCTGCGTCCCTTCCATCTGCTTCAACTCTCGCCCACTCAAAACTGGCCCAACACCCACCGGCTCATCCAACTTATTCATTTCGCCCCGATTTCCTCGACCTCCAGGGCTAGACGACCTCCCCTTGAGTGCCTTCGTCGCCTGTTGAATGCCCCCTTCCGTGTCTTTCATCTCCTCCCTCTCTGCAGCTGTAAACACCCCCTCCACCTGCTCCTCCCTCTCAGTCTTCTCCACCTGTTCTCCCCGCGCCTCAAACTGTGACTGACGCCTTACCCCTATCCGCCTCGCTCGTTCCCGAAGCTTCTCAGCAGCTTCCGCAGCAGGAGAGGGCGGGGCAGCAGAAAGGTCAAGGCGAGGCGGGGTACGGGCAGCAGAGGCAAAAGTACTACCACCAGCAGCAGAGGCAGCGGCTGTCGCAGGAGGGGAGAAGAAAGGGAGTTTCAGCCTCGGTCTTGCAGGCCTTTTCTTATCAGCAGAGCTCTCATGTCGGGGTGGTGAGGACGGAGGAGGTGACACAAGGGAAGGTGAGACTGGGGCAGGTGAGACCGGGGTAGGTGAGACTGGGGATGGTGGAGGGCTGTGCGGCAGTTCTCCCGCCTTCCCTCGGTCCCCTCCTATCCTCCTGGGCGGGGACAAGACCATCTCCCTCTCTCCCTCCACGCCAATTTCACCCTTCCCCTCCCCCTCCGCCCCCGCTTCCCCCTCCCCCTTCCCCTTCCCCTGATCCACCACAGGAGCTGGCCCAAAAATCAAAACTCCCTTGGCTTTTGCCTCGTGCTGCCTGTCCACCTCGCCCCAATCCGGTGCAATCATCTTCAGTCCCTCCTGCCTCTTCTCCCTCCTCTGCCTTTCATGTTCTTCCTCTTCCTCCCTTCCCCCCTCAATTTTCTGTGATCCTTCTCCTTCTGCTCCTCCTCGTCTTCCTTCTCCAGCCTCCTTATCAGGGTTCAGGGATCCAATCCCAAGGCGATGCAGCTCATGCTCCACAGGGCCTTCTTCCCCCATGTGCTTGTATGGAAGGGACACGTCTATGTGACTACTGCGAGGGAAGGGGCCTGGAGCTAAGTTCAAGGGATTGTGTGCGGCAGAAGCAGCAGACGCCGCATTACCAGAAGCAGCAGCAGGAGGATGTGGGGGTGGGTGGGAGAGTATTGCAGCCTCCCTCATCCCCGTTAAAGGCTGCTCCGTTACAGGCACAGCAGACACCTCGTGGTGCAGCAGCAGAGTGTCGCTGGGGAGGCTGGCAGTGCGCTTGGGAGGCACACGGCTGAAAGGAGAGGGAGGCGCGTCCACTGGAGGGCCTGATAGAAGGGCATGGCATGGGCAAAAAGGGACATGAAAAGGTAAGAAAATGAGGAACCAGCAAAAGAGGAGTCGCTGAGACACTAACAGCGCAGTTCGGCGGCATGTGCTTTGGAGGCGGAAGAGGAGGAGTAGCGTCCATTGGAGGGAATTGAAGTTCACCTGGGGATGCACGAGCACGAGTCTGCTGCTCCCACTGCTCACGCTGCTCCCGCTGCGGCCACAGCACGCTCCTCAGCGCATCCTTCATGCGCCTCAGCGTCACCACTCCCATTGAGCCTTCCGCCCTCTCCGCCCTCTCCGCCTTACCAGCCGTCATGGCCCTCCCCTCCTGCCCTCGTACCACTCCCCGTCCTTCTCCTCCTACCTTCACTCCCTCTCCACTTCCTTTGGCTTCTACGAGTCCCTCCCTTCCCGAGACGTCATCCTTCGTAGCAATTGCTTCACTCTTCTCACCCTCCTCTCCCTCCTCTCTTTCTTCACTCTCCTCACTCCCCTCACTCTCACCAGATAACCCCCCCTTTTCCTTCCTCACAGCTCCCCTTGGCGGTTGCACCTCCCCTTCCGACTGTCTTCCCCTCTGCCCCGCGCTGCTCCCCTCCCCCTCCGTCCCCCTCTCTACCGCTGCCGCCCTTCCGCCTCTCTCTCCCGAACCCACATCGACAGCACGGATTCTCTCACCCGTCTCCCCTCCAACAACCCCCCTCTCCTCCCGTGACGCAATCTCGCGTCCCTTTTTAGGCACCTGAACGGCTTTCCCCGACTCGATCTCAACCTCACGTTCTTTTCCCGACTGACTATCTCGCCCCCTTCTCCTGAACAAGGACCGGGGAAGCATCAATCCGCTGCCATACCTCCGTTTACCAGAAGGGGGAACTTTAGACGAAGCCACCTCCCCCTCCCCCTCCCAACCCTTGTCTCTCAGTGTCGTTGCATCGGGACTTTTACCAGGCTGGCCGGTGGTCTTCACCGCAGCAGCAGCAGCAGCAGCAGCAGCAGCAGCAGCAGCAGCAGCAGCAGTAGCAGCAGCCGCAGCGTCAGAAGCAGGCGAAGCAGCAGCAGCTTCCGGAGCCGCTAAAGAGTCCTTCGTTTTAGCAGACGATACCGGCGCACCGACGGCAGGAGAAAGCTCTGACGATCTCCACGGGTCCTTGTTTTAAGCAGACGATTCCGACGCGGGGCGGTTGGACGAATCGCCGTGAGGTGCCACACCAGGTGGCGCCTCAGGTGGTCCTTCAGGTGGTTTCCCAGATGTTTCTGCCGCGGAAGCGATAGGGTCGGGCCACAGATACTCCTAGGGCGTCATGGGCACGCCCGCCTTAAAAAAGATCTGCCGCAGCTCGCGAGGGCTATCTGACGGGGACTTTTGCGCTGCAACCGACTCAGAATCCATCCACACCGTAGTGAACGAATTGCATCAGTGCTACTAACTGCTTACTGTTGAGGATCAGTGACTTTCAACTTGCTAGTAAGGGGCGATAGCAGGTCGAATGACCAGCCAGCCAACCTTCCCAGTTAAGCCCTTGAGATGAGCACGCTAAGACTGTACGTAAGGCGCCTTCGTGCCGTGCGCTATGGCTAAGAGAAACAGCTTCAAGGCGCCCCCACTGATCGTTTTCAGCAATGAGAGAGAGAACGCTGCCCCGCGTTGTGGCAGCTGCTGCCATATAACTGAGCGCACCGCGCCTGTGTGGTGAGTGAGCTGCAGCCGCGAGAGAATGATAGCCCGTGTGCCGCTGGCGGGGGCATTCCGCCTGGGATGAAAAGTGAGCGCGCAAAGGCGCCGCTGCCACCCAGCAGTAAAATGTGCGACGATCGTGTTGGGGTGGAGGGTATGACCCGATCGTGCGGTTCCGAATCGACGAGCGGTACTCAGCGTTGTCAGCCATCGCGTCAAGGTGCATTCGTGCGCGCCCATGCCGAGTTCTGCGACGCAATTTCGGTTCGGAGTTGATTAGCTGCGTGAACAGCAGCCGCGAAAACACAGAAACCCAGTTGGTGAGATTGCACGGTGCGTTCGTGCGTGCATGCCGAGTTTTACGAGGTGAAAGTCGGATAAACTCGACACACTTCCATTACTACCGTAGCAAGCAACCAAGCCACGTTTCTGACGTATACTTATCGTCAAATCAAAGCACACTTGTTGCCAGCTCAACACAGATTTGGCCTGAAATTGAACTAGTTGGGCGAGCCGCATGCATTCGAACTAATATTGATGTCACCGAGGCGCATCTCTCAATTCCGCAAATGTTGCACTGCATTTCGTCGTTGCCAAATTGGACACGTGTTGCACAGACCGCAGTTAACGTTCGAGTCTCTCTGGCTGTAGTACCCGCTACTGTAAACCCTGTTTTGCTAACTACCCTCGAAAACAATACGTCAGAGGCAACGAGATCAATTGGTATCACTTGCAATATACATGGTGGGATAAGGACTCAAAGTCTGGACTGAAAACCAAAGGCGTTAAAGTGTAACTCGAATCAATAAAACCTCTTCTGGACTCTTAAAAAAAAGCCTTCAATGACCACCAGCACCATGTGATGCTTCTTGTGGTTCCTCCGGTACTCCCAATATCCGACGGGTTGCCTCCGCTCTGAAATGCACAGAAACGAGGGTTCAAAATGTTAGGCCGTGACAAACCACATGCACTTGTTGGTAGAGACACTCGTTCCACAGTCAGTCACTTATGAAGCGTGTAACCATACATATCGTGGTAATACCCACATCTCGACACCTCACCGACACAGAGCAGTAACAATTCATGTGCTTTCAGGAAGCCCTCAGCTTCCCTGCAGAGCTAGCATTCCTTACCAGACTTCTAAAGCACGCAAGGAACATCCATAGAAGAGGGGATGAGACATAATAATGTAGCCCCACGCACATTATACATCCGCAAAAGATAGTGATACCGTACCCACAAATGGATCTAGCACATCCACATGCCATGTAGGTAGATACCAACATGCAGGGTAAGCCACTTACACCCAACAACCAGAACTCTCCACTCACTGGCATGTGTCACCAGCTTCCTCCCCCGGACCTACCACCGCTTGCCGGACTTGCCTCACGCATGGTACTTTCGTGCGGTTGAGGCAAACCACCTCAAATGTACCGGTTTCTTCCACAGCGCAAGCAATTATCCAACTCACTGGCACGTGGCGCGGATAGCCGATGCCTCCAGCATGCCCACCAGCTTCCCGCGGTCTTCCCACTGCTTGCCAGACTGTGACACCACAGCAACATACTCTCGACAACTAGTCCCTGCTATCACGTGCAACATCCATAGAGCAAGCATTACTCCAACTCACTGGCACGTGGCGCGGATAGCCGATGCCTCCAGCATGCCAACGAGCTTCCTCCCCCGGTCCTGCCACCGCTTGCCAGACCGAGACACCACTGTGCTAGGACACATGCAAGAACTATCAGCAACTAACTCACTGGCATGTGGCACGGATTGCTGAAGCTTCCAGGACTCCAACCAGCTTCCTCCCCCGGTCCTGCCACCGCTTGCCGGACCGAGACACCACAGGCAGCACCGTCAGGTTCCTCGGCAGCATTAGGTGGCGGGCGGCGCGCAGCGTCTGGTCTGGGAAGCACACAACAAGGTCGGAGTCCCCGTGGGCTGTGGTACTGGTGCAGACCGCTCCCACCAGCATCTCGTGCACCTGGGGGTGATAATCAGGGTGAACGAGGGTTGAAGAAGGGGCAAAAGAGTGTGTAGAGGGTAGGCAGGACAGGCATAACAGCCAATGCCTCCGTGGGCTGTGGTGCCCGTGCACACCACTCCCACCAGCATCTCATGCACCTGGGGGTGAAAGAGGGGGAAAAGAGAAGGAGGGACGGATGAAACGGGGGTGAAAGGGTGGTGAAAGGGGTGAAAGCGAGGAAACGGGGGGCAGGGAAACACAAAAGATAAACTGCCCACAAAAAACAAAGTAACACAGCACATATACACAATAATCGTGCACACACAGAAGCAAAAACGGAGCACAAATGCAACAAGCGAGGGCAGAAGCAACAAGGGAGGGCAGAAGCAACAAGGGAGGGCAGAAGCAAGTGAGGGCAGAAGCAACAAGTGAGGGCAGAAGCAACAAGTGAGGGCAGCTCACCTCCACGCCTACAGGAGCCAGCTCAGAGGCAGCGACCGAAGCTCTGTGTGACAATGCCCTGTCCAACCCTCCCACCCCTCCCATTCCTCCCACTCCTCCCACTGGCATAAGCCCTACCGACACCGCCGATCCTCTATGACTCCCCCCTCCTCCCCCTCCCCCTCCTCCCGAACCACCGCCCACTCCACCCGCAACCGAGCTTCGTGCCGAGCCTCCAGGTCCGGCAATCGTCGAGCCTCGGTGGCTGGCCGTGCCTGCCGCACTGATAATGGAGGATCGGCGAAGCTCCCGGTGTACATCAGTGAGGGAGAGCGTGCCTTCCAGCAGCCCCTCTGCGTCCACCACCATGGCACAGTCTGCACGGCCTTCAAGGAGGGCAAGAACGGCTTCCCTTACTGTGGCGTCTGCTCGAACCGAGACGAACGTGGTGCTCATTGCTGCAGCCACCTGGGGAAGGGGAGGGGGGTTGGGTAGGGGGGCGGATAGGGGTCAGGGCAAAAGGGAAGGCAGAGAGAGTGCCTTCCAGCAGCCCCTCTGCGTCCACCACCATGGCACAGTCTGCGCGGCCTTCTAGTAAAGCGAGCACGGCTTCCCTCACAGTGGCGTCTGCCCGCACGGACACAAAGGTGGTGCTCATTGCTGCAGCCACCTGGTGAGTGGAGGAGGGAAGGGGAGGGGAAGGTGGAGGAAGGTGGGAGGGAGGGGTGGAGGGGGAGGGGAGAGGGAGGGGAGGGCAGGGAAGGGAGGGAGAGAAACGAGTGTGGGCCCAAGAGAGGGGGGAGAGAGGGAGAGCGTGCCTTCCAGCAGCCCCTCTGCATCCACCACCATGGCACAGTCTGAGCGACCTTCAATGAGGGCGAGCACGGCTTCCCTCACTGTTGCACCGGCTCGTACCGAGACGAAGGTGGTGCTCATTGCTGCAGCCACCTGGAATGGAGGAGGGAAGGGGAGGGGAAGGTGGAGGAAGGTGGGAGGGAGGGAGGGGTGGAAGGGGAGGCGAGAGAAAGGGGGGGGCAGGGAAGGGAGGAGGGAGAGAAACGAGTGTGGGTCCAAGAGAGATGGGAGACAGGGAGAGAGTGTGCCTTCCAGCAGCCCCTCTGCATCCACCACCATGGCACAGTCTGCGCAGCAGCCTTCAAGGAGAGCCAGCACGCTTCTCTCACTGTGGCGTCTGCTCGCACTGACACAAAGGTGGTGCTCATTGCTGCAGCCTCCTGGGGGTAAAGCGGGGGGAGTAGGATAGAGAACACATATATAATGGACTTGCTCATCTTGACTTCGTCCCGCAGACTATCCACACACAGGGCCGCCCCTACACCTTCAGCATACCCCTCAACCGCACTCAACTCCTCGTTCCTTTCTGCCTTAAGCACACAACCCCTGCACACTTGCTCATCATGACTTCGTCCAGCAGTCTATCCACATTCAGAGCCGCCTCTCACCCTTCAGCATACCCCTCAACTGCACTCAACTCCTGTAGTTCCCAGTGCGCCCTATGAACTCACTCACCTTCAGTTCGTCCAGCAGTCTATTCACACTCAGAGCCGCCTTCCACACCCTTCAACCACACTCATCTACTACACTTCCCAGTACACCCCAGGCGCTCACCTTCAGTTCGTCCAGCAGTCTATCAACACTCAAAGCCGCCTCCACACCCCCTGCAAACCCCTCCACCGCACACAACTCCATTTCCTCCGCACCACTCCCACCACCAGTACTGCTGCTGCCACTCCCCCTATGCCAGGAAATAGACGAAGACGCCCTGAGCTGCGTAGGGGACAGCGGCGGCCCTCCGAAATGCGTCGAGTGATGGTGCTCGTGCAAAAGGGCTAGATTCTGCTGGTGAGAGGCATGGCCGTTCATGGCAGTGCCCAGGGGTGAGTAGAGCGTGAGGGCTGAGTCGCCGTGCCCGCCAGCAGCAGCAAAGGCAGCGGCAGAGCCGGGGGCGAGCTTGGCGTGCGAGAGAACGGGCTTCTTGCGATTGGCCACTGAGGAGACCCAGTAGGCCAGACCCACTGCGCCCTGTGAGCGGGGAGAGAAATGGGTAGGGGGGAAGATAGGGAGACAGGAAGAAAGAGGTGAGAGGCATGGCCGTTCATGGCAGTGCCCAGGGGTGAGTAGAGCGTGAGGGCTGAGTCGCCGTGCCCGCCAGCAGCAGCAAAGGCAGCGGCAGAGCCGGGGGCGAGCTTGGTGTGCGAGAGAACGGGCTTCTTGCGATTGGCCACTGAGGAGACCCAGTAGGCCAGACCCACTGCGCCCTGTGCACAGTAGAGGGGAGGGACGGAGGAGGGGGAAAGAACGGGAGGGGAAGGTTTGAAAGACCGCGGATTGGAGAGCAGGGCTGAAGCATTAGGGGTGAGTAGAGTGTGAGGGCTGAGTCGCCGTGTCATGAGCGGGAGCAGCAGGATGCGGTAGTCGACTCTTGGTGAGACTGGAAACCAGCAGCACCAAGGAGGTGGGGACGTGCAGAAGACACTCAGGGAAGGAAGCAGAGGGAGATGAGTGGCGGCAGAATGTGATAGTCCTTGTCGGGTTCGAAGAGCAGCAGCATGGAGGAGGTGGGTACAGAAGAATATACTCGAGAAGCAGAGGGAGAGGGGTACCATGAGCGGCAGCAGAGTGTAATAGTCCTTAGTGAGTTTGAAAAGCAGCAGCACGGAGAAGGTGGGCACTGGGTATGCACATAACATAACACACTCTCAGGAATCAAAGGGGGAAACGTACCATGAGCGGCAGCAGAATGCGATAATCCTTGGTGAGTTCGAAGAGAAGCAGCACGGAAGTGAGGGGCACGGAGCACACAGAGGCGAGCATAGCCGCCATGCCCACCTGATGACAAACAATGAGCGAGAGCAGTGGCAGGAGAAAGAGATAAGATAAGGGTGACAGGGTACTATACGAGCAGCAACACGGATGTGAGGGGCACGGAGCACACAGAGGCAAGCATTGCCGCCCTGCCCACCTGATGAGTGAAGGAAATGAGGAGGAAAGCAACGGCATGAGCAAGAGATAAAACCGGGTGAAAGGGTGCTAGATAAACAACAGCACGGACGTGAGAGGCGCGGAGAACACAGAGGCAAGCATAGCCACCATAGCTGCCAAATCTACCAAAAGACCACAACATCAAACTCACCAAAGCATATGCCTGTGGTGCCGCGACCTCAGCCTTCCCAGGAATGGCAGCCTGGATAGCTGCACCCGCCAGCGACCCATACACCGAGCCTACCGCCGAACCTATGAACAGGCTCGGAGCGTAGATCCCCCCAACCAAACCCGAGCCTCTGCAAAGCGCCGTGGCAACGATCTTGGCTGCTATCAGCTGAGTCATGAGCTTCGGACCTGGGGCAGATGCACTCTCTCTCGAGTGCAATATTTCGTTCACGTTACTGAAACCCCAGTACAAGACACCAGGGTACTGTAGAGCTATAAAGCCCACACACAGGCCGCCCAATGCTGGCGTGACAGCTGGTGGGATGCCGAGGCGGTCCCGGAGAAAATCAAAGAAGGCTGTGGACCATTTGATTAGTCGGGTAAATATCACCGAAATAACCCCGCAAACCATTCCCAGTAGCAAGTACAGTGGCAGCTCAGCAGCTGATTTCAGCTCGTATTCAGGTACAGTAAACGCTGGCTCTTCACCCAGAACTACGTTAGAGACTGTAGAGGAGAGCACTGAAGCGAGGATGATCATGGCAGTGGTAAGCGGCGGCGCGTTTTCCGAAGCAACCGACTGTAGCACCGTTTCAATGGCAAAGAAACACCCAGCTACAGCCGCATTGAAACCAGACGAAATTCCTGCAGCTGCACCAGCAGCCACCAGTGCGGTTTTCCTCTCATGCGTGTTCATTAGAATCTCTGCCATTCCATCTGCCCAAGCCTTGCCTATGTCCACACTCGGCCCTTCAGGTCCCAGGGAGGAGCCTGTGCCTAGGGTTACTGCTGCTTGGATGGCTCGAATTACGGGTGTAAAAGCCGCTCCCCAGTCGATTCCCCTCTGCTGCTCTAGGCGTAGGGTTGCCCCCCGGTTCTGCCCCTGAGATTGGGATGGGCTTTGGCTTTGTTCTATGATGCCGCCGAGGGCGTGTAGCATGCCTACAACGACTCCGCCCATAACGGGGATGAGCATGATGCGGTGCCAAGTGGTGGTGATGGGTTGTACGCGCAGCCACGCCGCTCCCTCTGCTGGTGTGCCGGCCCATGCTAGGTTGTGGATTCCGTGAACCTGGATAGGTTGAGGAAGGAGAAGGATCAAAAGGAGAAAAAACTTGACTGTCGAGTCGATTGGAAAGCAAGCCACTACTCCCTCTTCTGGTGTACCGGCCAGGCGAGATTGTGGACTTGGTGAATTTTGTCGGGTGGTGAGGAGGGAGAGCGGTTAAAAGGCGCAAGAAAATCAGGCAGACGGAAGGGAGGAAACAGGAATTCACTGAAGGAAAACAGGAAGGAAATTTGACAGCATAAAAGTAAGCACGCAACGGCAGAACAGAGGCGTATACGGCAGAACGTATCCGTCAAAAAGCTTACCGCCAAGTTGAAAAGGACGACACTGGCTCCTGTGGCGAGGCCGAGAGCACATCCAAGCAGCAGCACGGCCCATTCAGGCGGAACCCGCTCGCTGAAATTCATGCTACGCGGAGAGAGCAGCGCGGTGGGTGACGCGGGAGACACCATCACCGCAGATTCGATCTTATCTGATGCCAGTTCCACGTCACCGCCAGCCAATGGGGAGTCGCCGTTGTTCCCCCCCGCGCCGTTGCGCAGAAGCGGTCGGTAATCGTTGGCGCTCATCCTGCGGGTTACCGCCGTCGCCAGGGCCGCGCGTCAGCCGCGAGATCGATGGCGCGTTCAAGTTCGACGGCTGTAATTATCTCAATCTTCCGACGGAAGCATGTATAGAGCAGCTAGACAGGAGGACACCAGGACGAAGCTAGTCAGCAGTTTCGCTGAGATTCATGAACTGGATTGAGTTTATGCTACCATAGATCGGTTTGCAAGAAAATGTTATCCAGACTTTACACCTGGGCTGTACTGCAATCGCCAAGCGTATACAAACGAGCCCCTGATGATGATAAGAAAATTATGGACGTTATGATACCCACGATTATAACTGACTCCTCACCGCTAACGCCAGCAATGATGATACGGACGATATACTAACGGTTACACGCCGTAGATTCCTAGGGTTACAACAACATGGATTCTTAGGGCTACAACATGACGTGAATCTACGGCACGGAAGCGAGTAAGGTGTGAAGCGCTCGACGACCTCTCTTGCTTGTGAAGGCAAGTTCCTTGCTACGCTCCTTTCTCCGAGATTCACACCCCTCGCCGTAGCCAGGAACCACTGGAATCCGAGGGTGAACGAAGAAAAAACTAGCTGAGAACAGGCTCTGAAGCACAGAACGAGTGGTAATCTGTCAAGGAAGAGTCGAATCCCGAGGAGCTGCTAATCCTGTCCCGTGAAAACCAGCTTGAGCAGTCACGGAATTCCCGAAAGTGCCCAAAAGCGGGACGAGCACCACTGTCTGGCTGGAATGGTGCAGAGCGGAACTGAGAGGACAGCACAAGCGGGGACAGGAACCAACCACCAAGACAGATCGAGTGCTCTATGGAGAAAGCACATTCACAGGACAAGATTCTGTTCGGTGCAGAATGATTAAAAGAAATGTAAGACGTTTGTGCGAGGTCTGAGGGAATTGAGCTCCACCACCCCCATTTCAAGGTTGCGGCAACTTCCGGGAGCGGGAACCTGCGAAAAGGGTTGAACGAAAAGCACCGTTGAGCCGTTCATTTGGCCCTGTCTGGAAGATCTTGTTTTACAATCCAACGGCGCTGGCAGCCCCAACTTCAGATGGTTGTTCCACAGAGAATGTCGCGAAAGGCACGATACTCGTCAGAGAATGGAGAATATTGAAGCGATAGAATCACTTCGGTAACGAGTCAGGAAAGCGGTTGTACTCATCCCAAAGTTACCTCGAGTGTCTACAAAATCCTACCTCACCAAGTCTTCACAAGGGGTTTGTTCAAGGGTAAGAAAATGACCTAGAGATGTTTGAATGTATAGAATATTATTTCTAGTTATTGAATACCTGTAAACATTCTAAATGTGTGTCATGATGTGCATACCGGTAAATTGACCAAATATTTTATGGAGCCAAAGCTTACTGATTATACAGTACCGTATATCCCGAAATCATTGCAACTGAAGCTGTGCATTATTTGCAGTCGCGAATCGCAATGTGCGGTGCGTGCGAAGGGTTTCGCACCAGGTGCGCAATTATTGCTCGGCCGCACATGCCGCGCAACTCTTGAATCATGATCGCCTGAATCCCCGCATAAAAACCTTTCACCACTCCGGACCGACGAAAACCTTGTCGTACCCGCTGATTTCTGATTTCCTTCTGCGGAATTATTGCGCCAGAAACCCAAGAAGCGGAATTTCGAGCTGCATTATATGCGATGAACGCCGCAATTGACGGTACTATGAGGCCCAGCGATTGATAGAGGCGCTACGAGAGGCGTCAGGACGCGGTTAAAGTGCTCGAACGGGGGGAGATCGATCCGGTCACCGCACTGAAGCCCTGCGTTTGGCCTTGAAAAGTACAAAACCGTTAAAAGCCGCGCTAAAAAACGATCCTAGGCGATCGATTCTCCACTTTTACCGCGTCCTCATGGGTCCGAAACGCCTCATCCGATGTCGAACCGCAGTATGCCAGCAAAGTCTGCAATCGGCCACACTTAGCATATTTAACGCGGTGGAAGTTTGGAACCCCAACTCATTCACCTGCAGTCAGTACAGGCCTCAGCGCTTCTTTCCCAAATCAGCAGATTTCTATATCGAACTCTACCATGGGCGCGCTTCGCCCTCGCTTTCTGCTCGCGCTCGTCCTCTTGGCGTCTCTAAACTTCCTCGCGGTTTTCGCGGCGCTGCCTCCGGATGGGTACTACGACGAGAGCGAGCCGGCACTGAAGGAATCATACGACCAGCGCGCGCTCCTGGAGGCCGACAACGATGCATCGCTTGACTCCGTTGACTCCGTCGATTCCGTTGACTTGAAGGACCCGCGGGTGCTTCTCGCGGTGGCGGATGTGGCGGCGGACTTGAAGGGAGCTCCGAAGAAGCAGGCGGGACGTAAGCTGGGCGCAGCCCCCAAGCCCCCCGCTCCCAGAACTCCTCCCCCTCCTCCCCCTCCTCCCAGCGCTATCAGCAGCTCTGATCCCGGCATTTGATTCAAACACCAGCCAGCAGACGTGCAATGGAGGAGAAGAGGAGGGTGGCAGGGCGGCAGGGACACAGGGAGATGCGGCAAATGGCAACCGGATGACCATGGGAAAGGGAGGGTTCGTGAAGACCTGTGGCTTGTGTAATGTTGTGTAAGACCCTACGTGTGCTACCACTTCATTCAGGTCTCAACGTTTCCGAAGCCAAGCCAAAGGTCCTGCTCTCCTAACCTTTTCTGACGTGTAACTTGGCTGTACTAATATATAAAAAGGGTGTCTGGATTTCATCAATCATGTGCTTCATGCTTTCCCAGACACGCCAATCACAAATCAATCACGGCTTACACACTCTCGACTGATGACTAATACCAGCCAGCAAAGTGTATTTATCAAATAGATAGAAACTATAAAGAAATTTTTAGTTAATATCAGCTGCTGCTGTGACTCTCCTTTGAGTCGACCCAACAATCCCCTCACTCACGGCTTACACACCCTCGACTGGTGACCACAAGACCAGCCAACAAGATCAACTGCTGCTCCGCGCCGCCCACGTGCACTAGTCGGCCCCACGCCTCCTCCTCTCCCTCCCTCCGGCTGACTCCCTGCACTCCCCTTCCCCTTCCCTTGCTCCTTGTTCCCACCCCCACTCTCACCCACCTGAACCGCCATCAACCCCACTCCTGCTCCTCCTGCTCCTGCCCCTCCTGCCATTCCTACTCATGCCGCTGCTGCTCCCTCTTTCCTCGCTCCCTCTTTCCTCCCACTCTCCGCAATCCTAGCCTTGGCAGCAAATTCTCTCTCAAACTGGCCGAAATCCACAGGCACAGCAATCAACGCTGGGCCACGCTTCGGCTTGCCTGCCCCTTCAAGTACCGAAAGGTCAAGCGGAGCAGACATGCCCTCTACACCACTCGAGCCAACCCTAGGAGGCAGGGGCCCCAGAACAGAGCATCGTTTGGTGTGAGAGAATCAGGTGCGGCCCAGTTTCCTCCTGCAGGAGCAATAGCAAGAGACCAAGCTAAGTTGCTGCTGCTGCTGCTGCTGCCGCTGCTGCAGCAGAAGACTGGAACCCTCCTGCAACCACACCTCCTGCTCCTGCTGCTCCGAGCCCCAAACAGCTGTCATTTGAGGTTTGAGCGACGGAGAATTCCCGAGGGGGGACAATTTGGATGGGCGGGTCTTTGGTGGTGGGAGTGAGGGTCTGGAAAGGGTCTTCAGACGCCCGGGTGGTGGCGAAGAGGGTGTTGAAATGCGCTGTGTGCAGCATGTTGTGCCGCTTCAGCTGCACCTCCTCCTTCTGCAACCATCGGTTCCATTGCTTCAGGAGGGCTGCTAGAGTGGGGCGCCCATGGGACTTGGGGGGGCGTGGGAGAAGGGAAGGAAAAAAAAGGAGGAGAGAGGACAGGAGAGACAGAGAAATAGAGCGAGAGGGTCAAGAGGGTCTGGAAAAGGTCTTGAGAGGTCTGGGTGTTGGCAGAGAGAGTGTTGAAGAGCGCTGTGTGCAGCATGTTGTGCCGCTTTAGCTGCACCTCCTCCTTCTGCAACCATCGGTTCCATTTCTTCAGGAGGGCTGCGAGCGTGGGTCGACCACTAAATTGGGGGAGAAGGGGGGGAAGAAAGGGAGATGGGGGAGGAGGAACAGACGTGAGAGTGAAATAGAACATTGCCAGAGTGAGCTTTATGTTCCACCAGTTCCATTACTTCAGGAGGGCTGCTGGGGTAGGGCGCCCATGGGACTGGGGGAGGAGAAAGGGAGATGGGAGAGAGTGCGGAGGGCGAGGAGAGGAGAGAGGGTCAGAGCGAGAGAGTGCGTGAGAAGAGGTGCACTTCCTCCTTCTGCAGCTACTGGTTCCATTGCTCCAGGACCCGCAAACCATCCCCATAAGCAGGTATAGTGGCTGCTCAGCAGCGGATTTCAGCTCGTATTCAGGTACAGTAAACGCAGGCTCTTCGCCCAGAACTACGTTAAAGACTGTAGAGGAGAGCACTGAAGCGAGGATGATCATGGCAGTGGTAAGCGGCAGCGCATTCTCCGAAGCAACCGACTGTAGCACCGTCTCAATGACAAAGAAACACCCAGCTACAGCCGCGTTGAAACCAGACGAAATTCCTGCAGCAGCACCTGCAGCCATGCGTCGTCCCAGGGAGGAGCCTGTGCCTAGGGTTACTGCTGCTTGGATGGCTCGAATTACGGGTGTAAAAGCCGCTCTCCAGTCGATTCCCCTCTGCTGCTCTAGGCGTAGGGTGGCTGCGCGGTTCTGGCCCTGGGCTTGGGATGGGCTTTGGCTTTGTTCTATGATGCCGCCGAGGGCGTGTAGCATGCCTACAACGACCCCGCCCATAACGGGGATGAGCATGATGCGGTGCCAAGTGGTGGTGATGGGTTGTACGCGGAGCCACGCCGCTCCCTCTGCTGGTGTGCCGGCCCATGCTAGGTTGTGGATTCCGTGAACCTGGACGGGTGGTGAGGGAGGAGAAGGGTTGAGTAGAGAGAGGAGGAGGATTGAGAGGAAGGAAAAGGGTTGAGAGGGAGGTGAGAGGGAAGAGAAGGGTTGAGTCGGAGGTGAGAGGGAAGAGAAGGGTTGAGAGGGAGGAGAATGGTTGAGAGGAAAGAGAAGGGTTAAGAGGGAGGAAAACGGTTGGAAGGCGAATGGTCATAAGACAGAAGGAAGGGAGGAAACAGAAGATGGTACAACGAAGAACGAGGAGGTTAATAACAAAGGAAGCCGAGTATAAAGTTTGCCAGCAAAGCAAAGTACGTTTACCCCAACACGATTACCCCAACACGTTTACCCCAACAAGTACACCCCAACCCAACCTAGGCGAAGGTGCTCTGGCAAAAAAACCCTACCGCCAAGTTGAAAAGGACAACGCTGGCCCCTGTTGCGAGGCCGAGCGCGCATCCAAACAGCAGCACGACCCATTCAGGCGGAACCCTTGAGTCGACTAAGTCATTTTGATTCGACTCAGAAGTCACCTACCGCCAAGTTGAAAAGGACGATGCTGGCTCATGTGGCGAGGAAGAGCGCGCATCCAAGCAGCAGCACGGCCCATTCAGGCGGAACCCGCTCGCTGAAATTCATGCTACGCGGAGAGAGCAGCGCGGTGGGCGACGCGGGAGACACCATCACCGCAGATTCGATCTTATCTGAAGCCAGTTCCACGTCACCGCCAGCCAATGGAGAGTCGCCGTTGTTCCCTCCCGCGCCGTTGCGCAGAAGCGGTCGGTAGTCGTTGGCACTCATCCTGCGGGTTACCGCCGTCGCCAGGGCCGCGCGTCAGCCGCGAGATCGGCAGCGCGTTTAAGATCGACGGCTGTGACCTTCCGACGGAGGCAACAGAACAGTTGAACAGGAGGACACAAGGACAAAGCTAGTCAGCGGTTTCACTGAGTTGCATCTCAAGCTAACGCGAAAGGCGTATTCTGAACGGGATTTAAGGTCACCTTAGACTCGTTAGCTAGAGTATGTTATCCAGACGTTACGCCTAGGCTGTACTCCGTAATGCTAAGGAAGATGTAGCAATGGTTACACGCCGTAGGTTTTTAGAGTTACAACAAGACGTGGATTCTACGGGTTACGACATGACGAGAATTCACGGCACGGAAGCGAGTAAGGTGTGAGATAGCGAGAGCGAGGCTACGGAAAACGACCGACGACCTCTCTTTCCGATAGACACACGACTCGCCGTAGCCAATACCGGTATGGGAGGGAGAAACTAAGGAAAAAAAAGCCACGGACAGGCCCTGAAGTAGCAAATTCCTAGGAGCTGCTAATCCCGTCCCGTGAAGCTTCTACCACAAAGAACTTGTGCGAGATTCGGAGAGGCAGGTTTGAACCACGAGTATAGGGAAATCCTGAAAGTGGCTCGAAAGCAGGGCGACCACTGCCAGCCTGAAATGGGGTGAGTGGAGCGGAGAGCACAGCACAAGGGAACCAACCACCAAGACGAATCAGCTAAGAGCGGTTTAGATGAATGTAAGAAGTTTGTGGTAGGTTCTGGGGGAATTGAGCTCTGCCACCCCCATTTTCAAGGTCGAGGCAACTTCTGGGAGCGGGAACCAGCAAAACGGGTTGAGCAGAATGCACCGTTGATCCGTTCATTCAGCCCTGTCTGGAAGATTTGTCTGGCGATCCAACGGCGCTGACAGCCCCGACTTCAGATGGTTGTTCCAGAGAACGTCACTGCCGAAACGACAGGCACGATACTCGTCAGGGAATGGCGAATGCTGAGGCGATAGAAGCGTTTCGATAACGAGTCAGGAAATCGGTTGTACTCTTGTACTCATCCCGAAGTACCTTAAGTGCTAACAAAATATGCTCAACGGTGAAGAAGAGACCTGCTAAAGTTGAGGATAAAAAAATCATATATACTTCTCCCGAGTTAATTCTTGTTATTAGCATAGGATAAAAACAGAATTTGAAGCCAGATGTTGTTAAACTATATTTACATATGTATCTCCAAATCGGTTCGATTGAAGTGTGCTTTTTTTTGCAACGAATCGGCAATGTGCAGCGCGGTGCGCAATTATTGCTCCGCCGCACATCCCGCGCACCTTGTGAATGGTAATCGCGCACCTCCCAGCTTACATCGACCCCCAAAGAAAACCTCTCCACCACTCCTGGCCGCTAAAAATACTTTCGTTACCCGGTTTTTTGAAACCTCTTCTCCCACACAACCCAACCACGCGATGAACGCAACCAGCAGATTCTCTATTTCATAATTTCGAGGTGCCGTCACCGTGACCAGAGCGCTACTAGCAGACTTGGGTGGGCTAAGCTCCCCAGTATTCACCGCCGCATCCGACGCTATGAGGCCCAAATCAACCCAGGCGCTACGAGAAGCATCACGGGGCGGAACCGCCTCATCTGCTGTCGAGCCGCAACATTACAGCAGAGCCTGCAATCTGGCACTCACGGTTAGCCGCATATTTAACGCGGAGGGAGTTGGAAAGAACTCATTCACCAGAGCTTCTTCTACCAGTTACAGCATTAAAACCTAATCAGTACAGCCTCTCTCAGAGCTTCCTTCCCATCTAAACTGATAGCAACAGCCAACATCATGGGTACGGCTCGCCCTCGTTTTTTGTTCGCCCTTGTCCTAGTGGCGTCTCTGAACTTCCTCGCGGTTTTCGCGGCGCTCCCTCCGGATGGTTATTACGAAATCAACGAGCCCGGCGGTCTCGAGGAAGCATACGACGCGCGCGCGCTCTTCGAGGCCGACAGCGAAGCTGCAGTTGACTCCGTTGACTGGGTTGAATCCGATAACTCGGAGGATCCGCGAATTCTGGCGGATGTGGCGGCGGACTTGAAGCAGCCATCCGCCGAGTCGGACGGCGCCAGTGGTCGCGCGAAGAAATCGACGCGCGACGGGCAGGCGGGGACAAACGCGCGCGCGCCAGTGGACTTCGCGGCTTCACCCAATGGCAAGGCCATCGCCGCGCGGCCCAAGAAGGGGAAGCAGGGGAAGAGGAAGCACTGCGTGCGGCGTAGGAGAGGCAGGTGCGTCAGGTGGGCAGCGACGAAGCATCGTCGTACCAGAACGACCAAGAAGACAACCGGCGACCTGAAAACTGCTGACAGGGCATCCGCGAAGCCGAAGGGCGCTGAGAGTGGCGTGCCGGCGGTTGGGAAGCAGGAGACGGCACCCGTCAGCACCTTTGAGTCGACTCAAAAGAAGGGGGCGGCACCCGTCAGCACTTCGGGCGACGACAGCAACTCGGGCGCAGCCCCCCAGCCGCGCGCGCTTCTCGAGGCCGACACCGATGCCTCCGTTGAATCCGTTGACTCCGTTGACTTCGAGGACCCGCGGGTGCTCCGTGATGTGGCGGCGGACTTGAAGCGGTCGTCGGATGATTTCAGCGGCGCCGTGAAGAACTCGCTCGGGCAGGCGGGGAGGAACGCGCGCAACTCGTTCGACAAAACGTTCCACACTAGGCATTTCGCGCCTAAGAGGAAGCCGCAGCGCGGGGGGAAACCCGGGAAGAAGCCGGGGAAGGGCAACGCGGGATCTGGACCCAAGGGGCTTGGCCTTGATCTGAAGGCCAGCGTGGGATTGGGCTTTAAGATCCGTGCCCCTGGGAAGAAGTTAGTGAAGGGTAATGGCGCGCGCTCGCCTGTCCCCAAGCCGCCTGTTCCCACTGCTGGCACGCCGGGTGTTTCAACGAAGCTGGAGGGAGTGAAAGAGAACTTAGGCGCAGCAACCAAGCTGCCCACCGCTCCCGCCGCTGCTGGCACGCCAGGTGTTCCGCCGAAGCTGGAGGGAGCGAAAGACAACTCCGGCGGCGCAGCCACCCAGCCACGGGTTCTGACCGAGGACGGTGATGATGTGGAGAACAGCGCTGACTGGGTTGACTCCGTTGACTCTACCGTTGACTCAGTTGACTCGGTTGACTCAGAGAACGCGCGGGAGCTCCGTACGGTTGCGGATGTGGCGGCGGACGTGAAGCAGTCGTCGGACGACTTGAGCGGCGCCGTGAAGAACTCTGTAGAGCGGATGGGGACGAATTTGCGCAATTCGTTCGAAAGGATGACCCGACCTGGCAGGTTCGATGGGGTGAGGACCAAGCCGCTCACCAAGCCTGGTGTGCTGCCTTTCACGAAGCCGGTTACCAAGCCTGGTGTGCTGCCTTTCACGAAGCCGGTTACCAAGCCTGGTGTGCTGCCTTTCACGAAGCCGGTTACCAAGCCTGGTGTGCTGCCTTTCACGAAGCCGGTTACCAAGCCTGGTGTGCTGCCTTTCACGAAGCCGGTTACCAAGCCTGGTGTGCTGCCTTTCACGAAGCCAGTCACCAAGTCTGGTGTGCAGCCGAGGACCAAGCCGGTGACCAAGCCGAGACCCAAGCCAATCACCAAGTCGGCGATGTGAAGCTTGCAATGGAACGGGGAGGGTGGAAGCAAGGGGAAGGAAGCAGCGGCAGACAGCAACTAATTGCTGGCGTGTGTGTGTGTGTGAGGGAGGGTGGGGGGGAAGGAGGGGGATGGGGTGGAGGGCTGCTTGTGTTTGTGCTATCTCAGGGGAGTGGGGGAGCATTTGAGTGGGTGTGGAGGGTGGGAAATGGAAGGGGCAAGACAGGCTGCAAGATCAAGCTGGATTCATCCTGCTTCGCCTTTTGCCTGGATCGTACTGCTTCGCTTTTGCTTTTCTTTGCACCTTGGTGTCATTTTTTCTTTTCATTTGGTGGGCTGATGATAGTGATGCTAGTGTGCATTTGTAGTTAGATGCTTTCTTTGCATTTGGTGGGCTGTTGATAATGAAGCTACGGTATGTGTGCCTTTGCCAATATCACTGTTCTCTGCTCTCTGTTCTCCCAAACCGTCCTGTTCTTAAAGCCATCACCCACCAGCGTTCCAACACTCAGACTGTCCAGAGCATTGTAAGATAAACACCAACGTTTGCTATCACGCATATTTCACTTATTTTTTCTGGAAGGATTCTGTTCTGAGAGCAAAGATTCTCCATCCTGCCCCAAAGTCAGCTGTGATGCCTAATTTCAGACCCTTGTAACGTGACATTCAGTTACAGTAACAAACAAGGACTGGAGAAAATTCCTTATCCTGGAGCACAAACGGTACCGTAAGCCTTTCCAAACATGTCAATCATACCTTACACAACACACAACCACACTAACTGCCATCCAGAGCCACCCACATGCGCTAGTTGCCGCCCAAAGCCGCCCATTCCAGATCTGCCATAGTAGGCCCCACACCTCCTCCTCCCCTCCCTCCCTCCGCCTGATTCCCAGCACCTCCCTTCCCCCTCCCTTGCTCCTTGCTCCCACTCCCCTTCTCACCCCCCTGAACCACCGCCACCCCCCCTCCTCCTGCTCCTCCTACCCCTGCTGCTCCTGCTGCCGATCCCACTCCAGCCGCTGCTGCTCCCTCTTTCCTCCCACTCTCCGCAATCCTAGCCTTGGCAGCAAACTCCCTCTCAAACTGACCGAAATCCACAGGCACAGCAATGGTCGCCGGCCCACGCTTCGGCTCACCCGCCCCTTCCAGCACCGAAAGGTCAAGCGGAGCAGACATGCCCTCGACACCACTAGAGCCAGCCCTAGGAGGCGGGGGGCGCGAGAACAAAGCATCGTCTTGTGTGGCAGAATCAGGTGCGGTCCAGTTCCCTCCTGCAGCAGCAGTAGCAAGAGACCAGGTTGGTGCTGCTGCTGCTGCCGCGGCTGCTGCAGCAGAAGACTGGAATCCCCCTGTTGCTCCTGCTGCTCCGAAGCTCAAACTGCCGTCTTCCGAGGTTTGAGCGACGGAGAACTCCCGCGGAGGGACGATTTGGATGGGCGGGTCTTTGGTGGTGGGAGCGAGGGTCTGGAAAGGGTCTTCAGAGGCCTGGGTGTTGGCGAAGAGAGTGTTGAAATGCGCTGTGTGTAGCATGTTGTGCCGCTTCAGCTGCACCTCCTCCTTCTGCAACCACCGGTTCCATTGCTTCAGGAGCGCTGCCAGGGTGGGGCGCCCGTGGGACTGGGGGGGAAATGGGTGAGAATGGGAGGTGGGAGAGGAGGAACGGACGTCCAAGTGAGTTAGATGGTCCTTCAGCTGCACCTCCTCCTTGTGCAACCATCGGTTTCATTGCTTGAGGGGGGCTGCCAGGGTGGGCCGGCCGTGAGACTGGGGGAGCGGGGAGGGAAGGGGATTGAGGGAGATGACGAGAGGATGTGGGAGTGAGTTGAGGTGGTGGTGCCTTCTCAACCTCAACTCCTCCTTCTGCAGCCACCGATTCCATTGCTTAAGGAGGGCTCCGAGCGTGGGTCCGCGGTGGGATGATAATACGAGTGTGATTCCATTGACGTAACTCTATCTAGGGGACTCTATTTTGTGACTCTATCCATGCCACCCACCAGGGCGTGCAGAGCAGCTTCAGGCACCATGCCCGTGTCCGCCCATGCCTTCTCCAATGCACCAAGCGTGCCTCTACTCGTGTGACTGTGTTGTACTGACTTATTCCTGTAACAGTGATTGAGTGACTTCCACTCACCAGGGCGTGCAGAGCAGCTTCAGGCACCATGCCCGTGTCCGCCCATGCCTTCTCCAACATATTCGCATCCCCCAGCAGCGCTGCTGCACACGCAGCCTCCCGACCGCACCCTCCTCGCACGAGTGATTGAATTTGCATCTGCAAGTGCGCGAGGGTGGGTGAAGAGGAGAGAGTGATGTGAGAATAGAGCATGTGGCAAGGCACATCCGACATATCAGAGGCAAGGCACTCAGAGAGCTCAGAGGGCTCTTCGGCAGATTCACCCCCGCCAGATGCATACAAACCTCCAGCAGTCTCTCCAGCACGCTTGCGACTTTTGAGGTAGACTTCTGCAACCTCAGAAGCAGACTTGGCCCCGCCGGCTGCCCTACCGCCCTTTACGATGCATGCAAAGCTGCAGCACGCTTGTGTTGCTCACGTGCAGCCTGGTCCCCTCCCCGTGCAGGGTCAGCCGCAGGGTCAGCCGCAGGGTCAGCCGCAGGGTCAGCCGCAGGGTCAGCCGCAGGGTCAGCCGCAGGGTCAGCCGCAGAGACACCCTCCAGAGCAGGACAGCCTTACTGCCCTCAAGGATACACACACACTGCTCACCAGCAGGCTGGTGACTTTTGAGTCGACTCAAAAGTCACCTGCAGCCCGCCGTGCAGGGTCAGCCGCAGAGACACCCTGCGCTGCACGGCTGGCAGCAGGGCGCCCTCCAGCATGTCAAACATTATATATGTTGTGTTAGTTTAGGCTACAGTGGGTTAGCCTATAGGGGGTACACAATTCTAGGGTTAGGTACTTGTACTCTTTTCATTGCTAGTTCATCCATTCCTGTTCAGTGATTCCAACATGGTATAGAGCAGGTCCTTCCTAGGACCGAAATTTTCTAAGGGCCCACCACTACGTAACTACCTACCTACCTACCTACCCGTGCCCTAGGGCGCCTCGGCGTGTCACGCCCCTAGAGGCCCCTCTTGACGGCCCCGCGCTAGCCCCGTTCAGGCCCCGTCGGCCCCTTTAAGGCCCCGTTCAGGCCCCGCGCTAGCCCCGTTTAGGCCCCGTCGGCCCCGTTTCAGGCCCCGTCGGCCCCACGCTAGCCCCCCTCAGGCCCCGTCGACCCGCGCTAGCCCCGTTTCAGGCCCCGTCGGCCCCTTTTCAGGCCCCGTCGGCCCCGCGCTAGCCCCTCTCAGGCCCCGTCGGCCCGCGCTAGCCCCGTTTCAGGCCCCGTCGGCCCCGTTTCAGGCCCCGTCGGCCCCGCGCTAGCCCCTCTCAGGCCCCGTCGGCCCGCGCTAGCCCCGTTTCAGGCCCCGTCGGCCCGCGCTAGCCCCGTCTCAGGCCCCGTAGGCCCCGCGCTAGCCCCTCTCAGGCCCCGTCGGCCCCGCGCTAGCCCCATTCAGGCCCCGATCGGGCCCGCGCTAGCCCCGTTTCAGGCCCCCTTCGGCCCCGTTTCAGGCCCCGTCGGCCCCGCGCTAGCCCCGTTCAGGCCCCGTCGGCCCCTTGCTAGCCCCGTCAAGGCCCCGTTTGGCCCCGCGCTAGCCCCACTCAGGCCCCGATCGGCCCCGCGCTCGCCCCTCTAGGGCCCCAACCGGCCCCGTGCCTACCTCGCCGACCCGTGCCCACCACCCAGAGGCCCCGGGCGGCCCGTTCCCGCCGCAGCACAAGAGGGAAAGCGGGCGGCCCGTCCCCGCCGTGACCTGAGCCGAGCCGCGCGCCCCGAGCCGAGCCGCGCCACCCAGCCGAGCCGCGACCCGACCTGAACCGAGCCGCGCCGCCCTGCCCTACCTGGTTCGTCCTACCTGCTTCTCCTACCGCTACTGCTGCTATTTCTACTGTTCCTATGGCTAGCCCACAGGTTCTCGTGTTCGATGCTGAGGGCCGCCCTGTGAAGTTTGACACCTGGCTCGATGACCTGCACCTCTACCTACAGCTCACAGCCAAGGATGACATCTCACTGTACGATCACGCCCTAGGCCTTGTCACTGCCCCTGCTGCTACTGCTGACAGCACTGCTCGCTCACAGTGGCAGACTCGTGATGCCCACGCTCGCTTCGCCATTCGCAACTCCCTGCCGATAGACGAACGCGAGCACTTTGGTCAGCACAAGACTGCACCGGCACTGTACACAGCTGTAGTTGCTCGCTACTCCTCACCTGCCTCTGCCGCACTAGGCCGTCTCTCCCTCCCCTACCTGTTTCCCGACCTGGCCTCCTTTCACACAGTCGCTGACCTCATCACGCACCTCCGTACTAGTGAGGCCCGCTTCCGTGCCGCCATGCCTGCTGAGTTCCTTGCCACGCACCCCCCTCCACTCTGGCTCACTCTCTATCACCTAGTCACCCGCCTCCCTGACACACTGCGTGCTGTCAGGGACCACTTCCTAGCTCGTTGCCCCACTGAGCTCACCATTGCCCTCCTCGAGAAGGAGCTACTTGCAGCTGAGGCTAGCATAGTCGCTGTAGGTGCCTCTCGTGGCGACCCCCGTACCCCGTTCTTTGAGGGGTGTTCTCCTTCCCCCCTGCTTCCCTCTGTCGCCTCTGCTGCTGCTGTCGACCTTCTTGGTACTGAGAAGGTCGGCACTGCGTCTGCCTCGAGCGGACGCCGCAGCGGCAAGGGCAAAGGGGGCAAGGGTAGTGGCGGTGACGGCGGGGGAGGCGGCGGTGGGGGCGGTGGAGGCAGTGGGGGTGGTGGCTCGGCTGGAGGGGCGAGTGGTAGCGGTGGGGGTGGTGGCGGCAGCGGCGGGGGAGGTGGCAGGAGTGGAGGCGGCGGTTGGGGTGGCGGTGGACGAGGCGGCGGCAGGGGTTGGGGTGGTCGAGGAGGTGGCAGCGGTGGTGGTGGCCGTGGAGGCGCTGGCGGTGGCCAGGGCCAGCAGCACACTCTCTCGCCCCAGGAGGTCCGTGAGTGGT